ATAAAAACATACATTTCGACAATGTTTGGCGATTTCGCAAAATACAAAAACCCCAGCCATTTTGTATTTTGCGAAAATTCTTTAATTTGATCGAATCTTTTGATGCCTACTCAATTGACAAGATTTTAAATACAGTCCAAAGCCTTTCCGTTTATTTCTCAATAAAAAACTAAAATTTCGACAATGTCTGGCGAGTTTTCGCAAAATAAAAAACCCCAGCCATTTTGTATTTTGCGAAAATTCTTAAATTGATCGAATCTTTTGATGCCTACTCAATTGACAAGATTTTTAAATACAGTCCAAAGCCTTTCCGTACATTATTCTCAAATAAAAACTAACATTTCGACAATGTTTGGCGAGTTTCGCAAAATACAAAAACCCCCAGCCATTTTGTATTTTGCGAAAATTCTTTAATTTGATCGAATCTTTTGATGCCTACTCAATTGACAAGATTTTAAATACAGTCCAAAGCCTTTCCGTACATTTTTCAAATAAAAACTGACATTTCGACAATGTTTGGCGAGTTTTCGCAAAATACAAAAACCCCCAGCCATTTTGTATTTTGCGAAAATCTTTTGACATCACCCCCGTCCTTTTCCAGCCACGCGGGTTTCACCGGAAGGAAACATGAAAATAGGCCTTGTGGATAAAGGCGTAAATTACTCCTAAAACAACACAGAACACGCAGAATGCTGGTATTTACCAATTACCAATTAGCAAGCACCGGGATGCTTAACTGTTATTGTCTTCGCTGGAATGGGCAATTCACAATTAGGCGTTCATGCCTTGGTGTGGTTGGTTTTTGAACCATTTTCCAAAATGTGTCCATGAGTTACTAACGTTAAATGGGACAATGAACTAGGCTATTTGCATGAAAAGAGTCGCCTGAATATGAATTGCTTGTTTTCGTTGAGAAAATGTACGGAAAGGCTTTGGACTGTATTTAAAATCTTGTCAATTGAGTAGGCATCAAAAGATTCGATCAAATTAAAAAATTTTCGCAAAATACAAAATGGCTGGGGGTTTTTGTATTTTGCGAAAACTCGCCAAACATTGTCGAAATGTTAGTTTTTATTTGAGAAAATGTACGGAAAGGCTTTGGACTGTATTTAAAATCTTGTCAATTGAGTAGGCATCAAAAGATTCGATCCAATTAAAGAATTTTCGCAAAATACAAAATGGCTGGGGGTTTTTGTATTTTGCGAAAACTCGCCCAACCGATAAAATTCAATCACATGGAATGTCACCAGATTGGCACAAATAGGCACCCAGGAAGTAGAACAAAAGAAAAATGTCATTATGAATGAGAAGAGGGAAGTCTTCACACGTTGATGACACAAATAATGGGCGTCCTGCTAATTTCTTTTAAGAAGTGAGTCATTGTCTGGCGCCAAAGAAAATGCATGCACCTTTTTGTTATAGGTTCCTGCTACACTATCAAAAAAACCCAAAGCCTCTTTCTAAAGCCTTACCGTACATTTATTCAAATAACAACTAGCATTTCGACAATGTTGGGCGAGTTATCGCAAAATACAAAAGCCCCTAGCCATTTTGTATTTTGCGAAAATTCTTTAATTGGATCGAATCTTTTGATGCCTACTCAAAAAAACAAAATTTTAAATACAATCCAAAGCCTTTCCGTACATTTTCTCAAATAAAAACTGACATTTCGACAATGTTTGGCGAGTTTTCGCAAAATACAAAAACCCCCAGCCATTTTGTATTTTGCGAAAATCTTTTGACATCACCCCCGTCCTTTTCCAGCCACGCGGGTTTCACCGGGAAGGAAACATGAAAATAGGCCTTGTGGATAAAGGCGTAAATTACTCCTAAAACAACACAGAACACGCAGAATGCTGGGTATTTACCAATTACCAATTAGCAAGCACCGGGATGCTTAATGTTATTGTCTTTCGCTGGAATGGGCAATTCACAATTAGGCCGTTCATGGCCTTGGTGTGGTTGGTTTTTGAACCATTTTCCAAAATGTGTCCATGAGTTATCTAACGTTAAATGGGACATGAACTAGGCTATTTGCATGAAAAGAGTCGCCCTGAATATGAATTGCTTGTTTTCGGTCGTTGATCTGGGCAAATAAAGTTTTTAGAATCAGTTTTCGCATTTTACAAAATACCACCTCGAAACTTGTATTTTGCGAAATTTCGCATTTTCGCATTATGCGAAAATTTTCGCAAAATACAATAAGCCGAAGGATACAACATAGATACAACAAAATACCACCGCTAGCAGTTCGCATTGTTCAATTCAATTCAGAACTGGGTATTGAATTCACTAAAAACCAATCACCTCAGACTTTTTCAATACCGAAATACCGCCCAATTTTAGGAAGATTACCGAGAATTATCAACAAAAAAAGACAAATACCGCAATACAGTGAACCTCGAAGACCCCTCAGGTATCCAGGGTCTGTCTGCCAACATAATTGAATGAGAAATCCTTTATTTGCCATCAGATTTGAAGATTCACCGAATAAGCACCAGATTGGGGGGGGGGCGAAAATGCATAATTACAGGAAGAAGTAGTCAGACAAATGAGATTTATTGGCCCTAAAGAACATCGTGGTCCCTAGACCAAAAATGTGCCGAATATTTTGAGCTTTGGTACAGAATCTTTTAGAAGATAACATCATGCCACAGATATAATGCAACAGAATTTGAGATATAATGGAAAAAGGTTCATTCCTGGACATGTATGACACAGTTGAATCACCCTGAGGTTGTAGTTAATGAGTGATGCCCATGACATGACAAGGCATCTCAAAATCCCGGAAAATTCTAAATACCCGACCCCTATTAAAGGGGGGGGGGTATATGTAAAATGAGCCAAGCAGATGCTTAGATATAGATACATAAATAAAACAACACCTGAATTCGAATTCAAATCTGAATCCTGAATAGGGACAAAGTAAGAGAACCACGAAAAGTGCCGCTCAAAATGACGTCATGCCGCAGCAGGGGGTTAGCAAACCAACATGTACTGTATTTTGCTCTATCACAAAAAATCATCATAAGCCATGGATGCAGCCTTCGCAGTCAGTCGGTAAATGTCGTATTAAACCGTAATCTTTGCAGCATCTCATCCAGGGGTTTATGTTGTTGAACCACCTAACATTTATTCTGTTTTTCTGTCGGAAATTCAACATGGTTGCCCATTTTCATCTAATTATTATGTTTTGATAAGATATTTTTAAAAACCAAATAAACATAAGGCTATCTGAATATGTGAAAACATGTTTTTATTTCAGTTCTGGTGTCGTCATGTCATGCTCAAATTATGAAAAAAAATGCTTATTAGATTTTTGTCGGAAAATCTAATTTTCCTAACGACGCCATTGGCTTTGATCCTAGAATTCCCTAGCCACAGCTGCTATGATCATGTCGCTTCCTTCCCTGTTATTTTCTGGGATCTTCCATCTCAATCATTTTGAAATTCGAGATCATGACAACGGTGAAAAATAAAGGGAGGGTAGATTTCCTGAAGCGAAAGCATTGTTGAAGATAATTGCAAGGATAATTTTTTTTTAAATTCGAAGCTTTAGTCGAACGTTTTCATAACTAGGACAGAGAGGTTTGCATTATTAGTGGGGTCTCTAAGAATATAAAAATTAGAGAGGTTACTTTATTTCGGATTTACAACCTAATAGTATGAATAATTTGAAAGGAGAAGCCTCGCTTGGAAAACGAGATTTCTTCCACTCTAGTTATTTCTCGGAAAAAACGCTTGACAAAGACTGATGGGAAGATGGGAAGTTGGTGGTGGTGGGAAGTTGGTGTTTCGGTCGTCTTGCAGAATACAGTTTCAAAATGAGCGAGGAGTGCTACGTGAGATGTTCGACGGATTTTTCTACCATGCAAGAACTGTGGGAAAGACTGGCTAACTTCCAAGCCATCCCTGCATTAAACCAGGAAGCAGAATATAAAATATACTCCTTGAAAAAGGCCTTTGCTGATCACATGTCAGTTGTCTTTTCTCACGATCAGAAGACCTACATATCCATTGAAGTGGTTATTCGTGATACCAGACGTGGAAAAGAAACTGCTCTCATATCTAGAATAATAAAGGACGAACATGTGCCAAAACTTGAATTCTACAAGGCAGTGGTGACAACTGCTTCCACGATTGTCGCAAAAGCAACCAAAACCTTTCAAAGGTTCGTAAAGGCCGGGGAATACAAAAAGGTATTCAATAATTGCCAACATTACGCCATAAATCTGTTAGAGGCTTTGGGAGTCGATAATGCACCATTTTCAGATGTTGCCAAAGCGACAACTGGAGGCATTTTGGCAGTGATTGGTGGTGCGCTTTTGGCACTGTTTGGAGCTGGGAAAAAACAAAAATGACTTTATGAGGGTGGTGAAATTCCACATTCAGAGTTAATTCTTTTTACCAGCAAGAAATTTTTTGTTTGATATATAAGAATTATTACGCTGTATTTATTAAATAAATTCTCTCGTTCTTTAGACGCTTCATCTTCCTCAAAGTTCATGCTGTGAAGTTGAACACTTGACGTTTATTTATCACAGGAATCACTTGGGCTTAACAAAATTATCACAGCAAAAAGTTGTTTGCTTGAAAGCGTTTCAGGATAAAAAAATAGTTAAAAGAAATATAAATAAACAAAAAAATTTGAGGCTGGTAGAAAATTTGCAATTTTTGAGAAGCTTTACCGAGTTCTTTTGCTTAAGAAGTTTCCATTATCATTCATAAAATCGCATAAATAGGTTTTCCTTATCTGGATTTCCATTGTACCTGCTGAAACACTTTTCTTCTCTTGGACGATGATTCCATGTAATGTAATGAAACCCATTTCTGGAATACTAGGTAAATTGAAAAGTTGGATAATCTTACAAGTTTCCTTGATTTATGGTGCAAAACCATCCATGAACTTATAGCTACAGCACTGATTAAAACTAGAGACTGGCAAGTAGCATTTTCATCAAAAATCTCACTGAGCATTTGCAAACTTACAATATTATGCATCTTATTTTAAGAACTTTTCAGCTGGGAGTTACTTAAGAACTTCTGGGACAGCAGTGTAACTTAGTACCACATTTTACCAATTTTACCAATTATCATGTTACTATTTATAAACCAAACAAAAACATAGCTGTGAGTTAAAGAAAGTTGTGGAGACATACCTGGGGCTAAAATTCAGTCCTGAAACCAGTAGTCGGAAGGTTTTGGTTTTGAGAAAGTTAAGAAAGTTAAGTTATGACTAAAATCTGCTATGTTTGTTTAAAAAACATTTTTACAATTTATATCCACATACATAAAGACAAACTTAGTAAATAATAGGATCTTTACCGGAGACAAATTTTGATGAAGAACAGGCAAAAACTTTAATAATACATAATCATTACCTCTAGCCAAAGCTAACTATCCAGAGAACACATAAAAAGGAATTTTCAGCTTTTTGTTCACTATTTTGTGATTAATTTAATGCATTGCAACCAAGGCACTGATCAAAGAGACTGCCAAAAACTTTGAAGAAACAATGTCTTCTTGGCTTCTGGAAACTTAATAAGAAATGAATAAAGAATTTTCTAACTGGTAATGATTGGGGTACACTCTAATGTGTTTATGCTACTACTGGCAACAAAATTTATTCTTGATTGAAATGGAAATCTTAGATATTTTTAAAAGCAATAATGGTTCTCTCCAATGCAACTTGCAAAGTAATCACAAGAAAACCATTGTCAATCCAACTTTTAACATCTTTTCATTAGGGTGACAAGGTTTCCTGGGCTGTGTCCACTTGCTAAATACATAACAAGCTTTGGCAGAATGACAGTTCTATGCTATTTGTGAGTAGACAGTATCAAGGCCAATATGAGTGAGCTAGAAGTGGAATTTGAATTGGAACCCCTCTCCGAATGGGAATCCACCTTGGAAGGGGAACGGCCCTCCATGGCCACCTTGCTGCTGCTCTGGATCGAGAGGGTCTTCACCATTGTCAAACTTCTGGCGCTTTTCTAAGGAAAATTGAGATTTAAATTGAATAATGTAAAATGAAAGAGAATCCATAAGGCCAAAAACAGAAGAAAACACCACTTTCCCAATAAAAAATTATTTTTAACTGCTTATCAATGAAAAGATGATGACAGGTATAATAAACATATGCAATATGGAATTTTCCGTTGGGAAGACAATTTTCATAAAAATGCATACCACAAGGCCCCTTTGTTAATTTCCTTTACCTAAACCTAGCCAGTGTAAAACAAAAAAACTGCAAGAAAAAGAGTGGTTCCAAAGAAGTCGAAACAGCATAAAAAGGGTGGAAGAATTTACCTGGGTCTGATAAAACCTCTTTAGCAGCAGCAATGTCAACAAACATTTTCTCAGCCTTTTTCCTATCTTTTCCTTTATAATGATCTGGATGCCATTTAACTGCCAATTTTCTGTAGGCTTTTAAGATTTCTCTTTTTGAAGCATTTCTAACAGGAATAAAGATGAGAGCTACTTTAGAGAAGGAATTAAAATAACAAAGAAGAGTTTGCTGCTTAAAAACATTTGTAGTTTATAAAAATATAAGGTTGGATTAAAACATAAGAGACAGGATTTATTTATCTGAATAATTTTTCCCAATATTTTGCTAGAAGTTATTTTGAGGTAACCAAAGACTTGAAAACAGCAAATAAACAAAAACAACAGCAAACAACTGACCTTTTCAGTCCTAGAATCTTATAATAATCCCTCTTTTTTGATTGTTTCTGTAATCTTTGTGCCTTTTCTAAGCCTTCTTGAGCCTAGAAAGAACAGTTTTCTTTCAAATCTATCATTTGTGAGAAACCATAGAATTTCAGTGAGCAACTAAGCATTGTTCTTGAATTTTGATTAAAAATGCCTTGTTGCATAAAAATGATTACTTTAGAAAAACATTTGTAGCAACAATCAAACTAAAAACAAACTCAGATTCTGAAACGAAAATAGAAAATAGCTGAAACAAAAAAATTCAAAGAAGGCATTGAAAATCTCAACCTACCCTATGAAAATCTCCATTTATATTTTTGGCAGCCTGAAAATCTTTAATTGCTGCATCATAATTCTCTTCAAGTAAATATGCCTCGCCTCGATCACAGAAAGCCTCTATATCGTTCTCATCAACTCCTAGAACCTCGGTACATGATCCAATTGCTTCTGTCGTTCGTCCAAGCTGTAAAACAAAATTTACTATAAGTTTTGTACTTTAAGCAAAGCCAGTGAACAGTAATTCATTACATTAAAAGACAAATATGATTATAAAACTGTAATTGTTATATCAAATTCATATTTCAGTAGGTTTTGTACCTTCATTTGACAATGACAAATATCTCCCATCAGTTTAGTAAAATATGCATGTTCTTTAGATTCTACTTTGAAAGCTGCTTTCAACTTTAGAAGTGCATCTTCATATCTAGAAAATCAAAATATCTCATTAATAATTGAGAAATAGCAATTCAAAAAGGCTTTAGAAAATAAATCAATTATCATTATTAACACTGCATGCTTTTAGAAACAAAAACTCACTTTTCTTCATCTATAAATCTTTGTGCATCTGTCATGAATTTTACCAGCTTCTTCACTTTCTGAAAATAGAAATAGAAATATTTTCTGTTAAATTTTCACTTTAACTTTCAGATATTGCTACAGACAGCTTTATGATGTGGATTTTTCAAAAAAGCAAACAGTAGAAAAATATAGAATTCATCAAATCTAGAATTGAAGCACTTAAAGGCTAGGGCTACTCAGTTAAGAGAAACTTTGGAACATCAGAGAACTAGCCATCAAGAAAAATGTGTCTTGAAACAAAAATAAATAATCTTAAAGTCCAAAATTGAATTAGCTAGTGAAAGCCCCTATCCTAAATGTGAACCCATGATTGATTACGAAGAGGATGGTAAGAAGGATGGATAGTGAAACTAGTTAGAGGAAAAACTCAGATCATTGTCGAAGACACTAGAAAATGGCTGCTCAAAGAATACAGATAACTGACATCCATGATTATATCCATGATTATAAAATGAACAATCAATTCATATCCTTTGGTGGAGGCAAAGCTCTAACCAAAGCTCTTGTCTGCCATCTTAAACAACTCTGCGCTGCGCTGGGATTTCACAGATTTGCAGAAAGGTGGAGACTGTTCGCATTATATTCTCCTATAATGTGAACAGCTTCCACCTTTCTGCAAATCAGCGAAACCTTTCTGCAATTCTGCAATTCCATGGTTAACTGGTGGTGGTCATGTGGCTGTAAGCCATTTTTATCTGTGTCAAATGCCTTCAATCGTTGTGTGATTGTCATGATTACCTTGCAAGATCTCATGTTTCCCCTGCATAATTATCAGACAATAAAAGCTAAAAGCCAGTCCAACTTGTTGCTTTTATCGCGATAATCTTGCAGTGGGAACAAGGCTTAAATTGGAAACTTGCTCAAATGAGCACCTCCCCCTAAAACATTAAAAATTCAACATGCACCAAGCTGCTCATTTAGGGGTTTGCCGTGACTAAATAACCCAGTAAGATGACTGTTTCATAGACTTCATCTGAATAATATAATAGAAAAAATGATAATTTTTTTTTAACTATGTGGGAGCTGAGTTACTTGCCTTAAGGCATAATAACTTAATTTTCAAGATATAGGCATAATAACATAATTTGGGCCCAATTTGGGGCTTTTAGATATTGAACTAAGAACCAGTGTGAGCTCAATCAATGTTTCACTAAGCATAAATGTAGGTTGAAGGCCAAAAAAATTAATGTCTCCACTTACCTTGTAATGCTTAAAGCATTTTGGATGATCCTGGTCAAGTTTTAAACATTCACGAATTTCTCTAAAAAGAGCAAAGTCCTAAATTAGAAAACAAGCAATTTCAGGCCATTCTGAGAATTCAGCAGCCAAAAACTTTGCAAATAAATTTTGCAAAGGCAAATAATTTTTTAAAATTTATTCCATTAATCATATAATCACAATTATGAGCCATAATCATAATGTAGAAAGGAAAACATTTACCATCATTTAAATCTCTAGATCTTTTTGGTTAACTAGCATCTCTGGCGATAAACAGTAGTAAGTTTGCCTTAGAATGATGCATTGATACTTTAAGCTTGCAAGAAAAAGCTTATCCATAATTACTTGATAGCAAGATCACTTTTGCAAGTAAACTTTGTTTATTTTCTAGTATCTTCTTTGCAATTTCTTCAATAAGCTCTTTTGGCTGGTATAATATTCCTAAAGAGAAAGGGTTAGCCTATGAGGGGAAGAGCTCTTAGCCAGGTTTTCTTCCACAATAAAAAGCTGTTTATGAATCTCTTTTCTCCGCTCCCTTATGCTTTCCCAAATATACTTCTATTGATAAAACAATGGGTACCCGAAAAAGATTTTGTGCTGGAAACAAGGTCAAAAGTATTGTGATATCTTGGCAAGCTTTGCATAATCTGATCCAGGAAATTCAGCATCGAATCTTACAGAAAAATATTTAAAAGACTTCAATATAACTAAAAAAGACTTTAAAGACTTAAAAGACTCTTTTCTGAAGAAATTAGAATCTCTCTCAAAAATTAGGGTCATTATCAGTTAGACCAAAAACAACTTTATTTCAGACAAAAAGATATCGAAGATGTTAGAGAAATTTTAGAGAAAACTCTTCAGTCGTAGAATCACTTATTTCTAGTAGTGGCAAAGGGGCAAGGTTGATAAAACAATAAATCAAACGCCAAGCAATAGAATAAATCTGAGTAAATGATGAGCATCCAACAAGCGGCTTGTTCAATTTTTTTGGATTAGTTAAACTTTTGGGGGGCCCTTCTTGAGACTAGGGCCCTGGAAAATTACCCTGGCTACCACCTCTTGATATACTGTTTATGACATAATAAATAGGTGGCCCCCTATTTTCATTAATTCATTTTAACGCATCAACAATTTGAATGGTATGTATATTTTGAACAAGGAACATAAAATGACAAAATACAACTTTTTCACACTGACTATTAGATGAAGAAATTATTATTTGAATCAAGATAAAAATAAGCATTTAGTGCCCCTAAACTCACTTTAATGATTCATCTGCTTCGCCTAACAAGTAGTGCAATAAACTAATTTTGTAGTACCCCTCTGTATTATCAGGAATAAGCTTCAAAGTGGGCCTGAAAGGAAATGGTTGAATTATGATTAATAAATCACCTTGATTGTGACACAAAAAATATTTGGGAAACTTATCATCTGGTTGAAATTAACTAAAAAAATCCAATTATATCATATAATTTTTTTATCGTAAAGCTAATCTAATTATTTTTTCATTTAAGGTAGCTAAATAAGAAAAAATAGAAATAAAATATTCAGATAAAAAGAAAAATACTTTCATTGACCAATCCATAAACATCAATGGGAAAATGAGGGCCAACGTAGTTTTCTATTTTAAGTTTGCAGCTTTTGGCACTTTACCAAGTTTAACTGCAGCTTACAGATTCTCAAATTTTTCTGGGATAAAGGCCTCTGCTGGTAACATACTTTCAAACTTTTGATCAAAAATTAAAGCTGTTCACATTTTCCTGGTGTGAATATAACTTGAAAAGGCCAATAAAGGGAGATTCATATGTGGACTTAAGCAGAAATCTGTCATAAGATTTTTTGTCAAGACGATTTTACAACTGCTGCCACAGCTTTTTAATACTTTGGCTGTGAAATGTGGCTTTCTGACTCAGTTATATGGGGTCTGGTGCATTTACTCCCCTATTACAAGCCCCTAACATAGACCCCTGTGTAGAAAATACTTACCATTAAAGGAATATTGGTTCTTTCGCAATACATCTACACCCATTCCCAATGGAGAACATAGGTGCCAATGCTTATAACAAAATTGTTATAGAACGATATCTTTCAGAGTAAGTTTAATACCTTATATCTCCTATTGCTTTGATAGTATCCCCTACTATTTCATAACACTCTGCCCGCAACTGTCTCAGGAATGGATCCCATGGACAAATCTCGATAGCTCTAGAGAAGAAGTTTATGGCAGAACCATAATCTCCAATTTTCATCGCGTCTTTTCCTTGAGCAATTTCCTCTTTTGTCGGATCAATCAAGTGTAGCTAAAGAAAGCACACACAAATAATTTCTGAAAAACAGCACTTTTACCTTCAAAATCAGGTCTACCACAGCAAAAAATTAATGGCAACAACAAACCCACAGCAACAAAATCTGAGCAAAATTTACCATTAAACACAATCAATCTTTAGATGCAGATAAATTCTTAGCATTTCTCTAAGCTTACAACAAAGCAGAGTTCACATTTATGTTTCTGCCAAACTGCATCAAAAATATTTAATTATAATAGATGCAATATATTGCATCGTGTAATCCATGCCAACCAATATAGATCCATTTAAACAAAGTTTACATCTTTTCAAAAACATGTTGACTGTCTTGCATTTCATGCTATTCTTTCTAAAGTTTATCTCTATCTAAAGTTTATTACATTTAAACAAATGCAAGTTGAAAGTTCTAACCTTAGAGAGAGCTGCTTCATTTTCTGGATCCACCTCAAGCTACAAGAAAAGAAAGATTCTTATAAAAATCAATTTGTCACTTAATGTTTTTACTTTTTTGGCCTCAAAGAACAAAAATAACCTGAAGACAATTTGACTGATTGAAAATTGGCCAGAGGCGCTGTTTGTCAGACAGATAGTTTAACAGACAGTTTGACAGGAAAGCTTGACAGAAACTTTTATACATAGTTTCACAGAGTTTTTGACAGACAAAAAGTTTGATAGACTAGCAGTTTGATAGACAGCTTGACATATAGTTTGGCAGAAGAGAGACAGGGAGACAAGGTGACAACTTTATGAATAAATATTTAGATAAACATACCACATTTTCAAAGTCTTCTTCAGCTGCTGCAAGGTCGCCTTGCTTCAGATTTATGTTCCCTCTTTGTATTCTAGCCTAGAAATATAACAGATGAAAGACAGCTAGCACAAAAATAGCAAATATAAGGCAAATATGAAAAATTGTTTTACAAAATTTTAGGTCAATATACATGTCAACATGACCAACAGAGAAATAGGAACTGGGAGCACAAGGGCACCATGCTCCCCCAAAGATTTCAAGTGTCCTTTCCTGAGGAGCTAATGCTTTTTAAGCAGGCCTCTCCGGGAATAAAAAGCATGTGGGCTAAAAAAGACCCCTGCTGGTTTGGCTGCGTGGGTTTGTTAGCCCTTGCAGAATTTGTTGTTTATCTATTCATATTTGGGTATATACAAGCCAAAAAATATATTACCTTGTCTACTTGTAAACATGATTATCTTAAGAAGACAGTTGTTCTGTGTCCGTTACTACTCTTAAAATGACAATCTGGATTTTTTGCAAAATGGCAACGTTTTGTGTAGGAACACAGATTTATTGAGTAGTACCCAAAGAAACTCATCTTTATTAAAAAAGATATAGAGCAGTACAATGTTATTTAAAGGATAATGGAAGATGAAGTTTTTTCGCATTAAAAATTCAAGAAAGAATAACTTAAATACACTTCTTTTCTATTAGAAATGAAGGTCAACTTGGAGTACTCCAGTTTCTTAATGGTGTAGGAAATTCCAATACTCATTCTTTCTTAAGAGTTTCTTAATCTAAAAAAAGCACAGAAGGCAAAAAATAACATGATAAAAATCAGCGAATTACACCTACATAAACCTCATAGCATAAAGGGAAGTAGAAATGCGGATTAAAAGTAACAAGAGAGTTCAGACAGGGTGAATGATCAGTTCTATGTTTTTGACAAAGCCCAACCGTCTATCTCACCCTGTTGAAGAGTCTAAGAGCAAAAACGAATTTTTTCTGTCTACGAACTTTTTTTAATTTATTTTCCAATTGCCCAATTGTTGTTTCTTATAGCGTGTTTCTTATAAAAAGTGAGTGTATTTGTAACACAAATTTTGTACTTGACAATGTTGTGTACCAATTCTCATTCTTGCTATTTTACACTTTCTGTTGTTCCTTTCCTGCACAACAATTTCCTATTCCATTGCTAGTTGTAACAGGTAATACTATAGTTTGTTAACAATTGATGTCAAAAAAAGGGAAATTTCCTTTTTATAATGATATTTATAAAAACCATATATCTCTTTGACACAACGTTATTTATGAATACCCTGATATAAAGCGGTGGGTAGTTAAAACATTAGAGAGTGAGACGTAGCGGATTCAATGAGAGTGTTGTTATAAACAACTGTGTGGGCGGAAAAAAGCCCTTGCAAAATTTTTTTGCGTGGTGAATCAGGATGCGAAAAGGGAGGTTAATCAAGGGGTTTGAGTTAGGCTATCTTAGTTCTCTTATTTTATCTTTATAGTACCCATTTCCTCATAATTCTTTGGTGACTGGTAAGCATGATAACTGCCCTTCCCAAGGTCATGCCTGCAACAAATAAAATGGCTTTGTATGTCCCTGATGACATTAATATGAACATTGTGCATGTGCTCTCTTTGTTTGCCGCGGCTGTCAGAATATGTCAGAATAGCTATCAGAATATGTCATTTGATGGGAAATGAAAGAAATATTTTATCAAACTATGAAGAAAATTCATTAGGGAAATATCACAATAAAGAGAATTAGGCCAAACTTAATCTTTTTGTCAAATTCAACTTTTAGAACATGCACATTTGAACTTACCTTAGTAAAATCAGGTCTCAATCCAATTACATAGTCTAGATCTGGTAATGCTGACTTTGACTTGCCCAAAGCTAGATACACTGCTGCCCTTCTGAAGTAGGTCATGTAGTTCATTGGGTCACCCTCTAAAAAAGGAATTAATAAAATTGATTTGTTGGCAAATGACGAATCCTCATTACTGCATATGGAAATGAGTGCTGTTCTGTAGACTACAAAATCCCTGGCTTGTCTGCATGTAGGCTACAATTCTATAAATTTAATGTCATTGTATATTTTGCATGGTCACACTTTCACACATGCTATTGTCCAAAAACTTTATTGCTAGCAAATGCTAGCTAGGTAAATAAAAGTTAAGGGTGTTGTAGGACATAGCAATCCATTTCTACTTTGTGTAAAAGGTTGCCTTTGTCACAGTCCTAAACTTGCCCAAGCTAACAAGTATGGTCTCAAGGGACCAACACAAAACAAACAAACATTGGAAACATTACTTCTGATTATTATTTTTTGTTATTGTTGCTATTGTCTACACATTTCTAGGGCACCTGATCTGGTCTAAGTTTGTAATCACCTACATAAAGGGCCTGTGCCACAGGGGGGAAACAGGACAATGGTCACCCCACTTCTCTGCTAAATAAAATAATAAAAACAGTTTAAATAGTTATATAGATAAACCTTATTGAACCAATGCCACAAGTATAATAATCTCAGCAAACTGATTGCCACAATTGGGGCTAAAGGGGGGGAGGAAACTTTCTTTACAGTGCTGGCCCTTCCAGGTTAGGATCAGTGGCACAGGCCCCGACACAGAAGCAGGGGGCATGGAAGTAGGGGCTAAGGGGGTCAAATTTCCAAATTGTACTTAAAACCATACAAAAAATTGTCCTGTCTTTGGTTTTAAGCATGCTTAGCTCCCCCAGAATGCTTTAGCCCTCCCTAATCATCTAATTGAGACATTAAGCCCATTGAGTAACCAAACTAACTACAAAACAAGAATTTACAAAGTACAGTCACTGACAAGACATTTACTATCATCATGTTTTGACTCATAGTATCATTTATGAAGCGTATGAACACGTTTTTACTGCTCTTATGCTGAATACGTAATGTGGCCTAGTATTATATCCTGATCGTATAAGTTGTTTTGTTATATCCATTCAACCGTAGTTTATCTCTCAAGATACTGTTCCGTGGCTCAAGCAATATATTTCAAATAGCCACAAGTTCTTGAGTGCACTAAAAACCACATTTAAGAGACATAAAACATTGCAAAACCTCCTTGTGAAACGGAGATGATAATACAAACCTTTACAATACCTTTGATTACGAATACGTATTATATAAAAATATATAGGATATTTACATACATTTATAGGATACATTTGATTAATAGTCAGGTGAAAAATTAGAGAATGAAAGCATATGAAAGACTTACCAACAGCCGCATGGTAATGAGACAATGCTTCTGTAAGCTGCCCAGCAGCCAGCAACTTTTTCCCAAGCTCTAGATGTTTGTCGACGTCAATTGTGGTGTCCCCGTCTACGCCTGAAAACAAGCACAAGGGAACGTGATGATCTTACCACGAAAATAAACGATTGCACTTCAAAAAGAAAAATCAACAAGTTGTGATTTCTTAATTTGAAATACAAATAACTAAATATATGCTCTTTAATCGCAAACGCTGGTTAGTGTCACTGGCAAATAAGTAATAAATGCAAACAGAAATGTAAACAAGTTGATGAGGTAGGAATTGAGTCACCAACCTTGCCTTTCTGTATCCAGTGTCATGAAAAACACTGAAAGTGAAGAAAATACTCTATAAACAAGTGATGCTTTGGTCCACATCCTTAAATTGCGCGTACCAAAGCTGTGGCTGCTGGTGCTTCGTCAAACAACCTCTCCAAAATGTCACTTAGGCCAGTTGACAACAACGCCTCTGCCTCTTTATGGCATTTCAGAAGGAGGCGATTAGTTTGGCAACATTTGGCTTCTTTTGATTGGTTAATGCTGGAAAACGTGGAGTTTTGCAGTGTGGACAAATAGAGACCCACTGCTCAGTGGTGGCATTCTCTATTCTGCGGTGGTGGGGTGGCTATGTTTTCCCGGGGGTGGCCAAGTAGATTTTTGCGCCCTATCTATACTGTATATCGTGGTTATATAAAAGCATGTGTTTCTAGAAGGGAAATTGATTTTTGCAGCTTGAATCCAACATTTCATAAATAAGCTTTGACTAAGAATGCGAATATGAATGGAAAAGTTATGTAATCCTAACATTTGACCTTTTCGATCGTTGTTCGGTCAAATATCTACCCTGGGTACCAGAGCCGCAAAAATTAAAAAATAATATTAAAAAAGAGCCGCAAAAATTAAAAAAAATATTAAAAAATAATGAGAGCTGCGGCTCTTATTATTTCTTAATTTTTGCGGCTCTGGTATCCAGGTGTAAAACCACTTAAAAAGGGGGTTTTACAAATGTGAGTTCGTAGGTCGTTCGCAGAAACGTACACGATAAATACGGCAAAAACTGTTATCCAATTCTCTATACACTTCTTCTAATTCATCAATTTACGGCAAACGACTAAAAATATCTTAAATGGCTAACGGCGACAATGTAACGGCAAACACAATTCTGCAAGCTAGCGACAAGGTACACTGAGTTCGACAAAGCTTACGGCAAGACTGAACCTAACTATAAAGCCACCCCTTTTATACCCTAAGAATAATACAATTTACAGAAGCTGATGCAATTGCAGCGCAATGATGCAATTGTCATGTGATGTCCTGCAATGAATGGGAACCCTGTGTTCTAACACAGGGTATAAAATATCAAGCTATTTTGAATTGGCTTATTTTCGAGAGTCGGCCTATTTTCGAGGAAAAACGGTTGGCAAAACATAAAATACTAATCAAAAGACATTTTATTCAATTACACTGATGTTTCATACAGGCTACTCGTTTATTATATCCAGAAAACCAGCTTCAGAGTAAAATAAGGTAGAGAAAATTTTTGTTTCGGGCTCCTTAGTTTTTTTACTAAAGGCAACCTTATGGGCGATTTTATCAGCCTAGTATCATCGCATATATGAGATATCATCACACCGCTCAGAATAGACAGTTCGACGATGCTCAGAAAAACATTGATTTTTGATTTTTTTAAAAAATTTGGGAGGGTAGGATTCATGCGCTGGGGAAAAAAGGGCGACCTTTGTTTCACATCGATGTTAATAGCAAGAAGCTGGTGTATTGACTGCCAGGGTGCATTCCATGTACTTTGGCCCGAAGATCTTTGGCGTACACTCAGGCTTTTTGGCGTTCCGAGTACAAACTAATAGAAAACATTTTTGGCATACGTAAAATCTTCGTCAATTGGCGTGCTAAACATGAAGTCACGTACATGGTTAACACGAAAACATATGACACAAATGTTGATTGGGTCATGGCAGCGCAACGTGCTTCGATTGTAGAATCACTCGTGTTATTAGATTGTTAGCAATTTTTATGTTCCTAGCCAAAATTTGGTTTGGCTGCCAAATATTACAAGCAAACAATTTTGGCGCCCCCTATCTCCATTTGCGCCCCCTATTCAAGGGGGGCCATGGCCCCCCTCCCACTACGTCACTGCCACTGCTAATCAACATTGAGAGAAGGACAGTGATATTTTCTAAAAAATTCGGTAAAGCAGGCCATTTAATCAAGTTACTTTAGGTTTGGTTAATTCAGGGGCGAAACTTCACTTTTTTTATTTGGGGGGTATGAAGCTTAGATGCCCGACAAAAGGGCGTGTCATGCTTGATGAAAGGGCGTGTCATGCATGAACTTCATTTTTAGGACACATCGCCTCAAGGGCTGAAATCATCGGGGATCCCGAGAGAGGATCACCAAATATGTAGGCCTTTAGACTCGGGCTGTTTGTTTAAAGTCAAACAATATGCTTCTAGTTTTTCTGGTATTGGCTATAACCATTTGTTTCCGAAAAGCAAGCATTTGTAAGGCCTGTCTCTTCTATAAAAAACATAATTTTCACTTTCTAAATCACCTATCTATCAAGAGAGCAGTTTCAAAAAGAGATTGAAGTATATGTCTCAATTTTATCACAAGTGGAACAACAGAACACAGCTTTGAAATTTCGGAATTTAGAAACAGCAACGCAGACTACGATGTTTCAACAAAAAAGAGCTTCAGTTGCATTTCTGAGTTTGATTTTTAACTTTCGGTTGCTCCATAAGGGATTCAAACATTTTAGACACCAAAGCACAAAGTAAGTATCTCTGAATTCACCATAACAATAACCCTCAAGCAAAGAAAAGTTTTTTATTGGAAATATTTTACAGGTACACCTATCATCAAAGCTCAATTTTCGTGTTTTCATTATCGTGGATCGTGGATATTGTTTAGAAATAGAAGAAACTCGAAAGTTTTTTGCAATTCATATCTTAATCACAATTCCTTGATAAATTTTATATTATTTCCCGCTTGAATTTTAGGCTTAAAATTTTCTGTTTGGCTTTAAAATTTTAGGCTTAAAATTTGTTACAGCAATTTGAATTATTTTTAAGTTGATTAACTTTGGCAGCTGTATGGCCATTTTTTGGCGAAGGATGCAATACTTTCGGACCGTAACTGTAAAACTTAAGAGAATTTCGGGGCATAACTCCCTATGAATGTATGATAAAAAGAATGTATGAAGTATTGCTTGATTTTTCTCAGCAACGTTTTCCGAGATGGCATTTGATGTATGATGCTTCTAAAATTGTCAGTGTTCCATGGGTTCCGAGGCAGGATGGAAAGGGGGGGCGTCAAGGGAAAATTTTGCAATCATAACAAAAGATTTTGAAAAAAGCTCTCTTGTTTTGCAAAAAGTAGGGGGGGGGCATGCTCTGTGTTGATTTCCTTCTTGCATCAAACACATTCTACTTTCCGTCTATACTTTTGCTGTCGATCAATACTTCTGCATCTCGAGACGAAGATGAACATGTGCATGTCGAGCTCGAGACGAAAGACAAAAATGTATATATGTTGCTGTTGCTTGCTTCGTTTCTGTTTTGTTTTCCCGACTGGGCGGAGATTGTAAAAAAGATTGGGGAGGGGGGAGACCATAAATTCAAAAACCACGCTGGGGCAAAAAGTAGCAATAAAAGTGCAATCTAAACAAAATTTCTTTATTTGCCCGACCGATATGCTCGCAGCCAAAAATTTGCCCGACAAAATCTGCTTTTTTTTAAGATTGGGGAGGGTGCAGCACCCCCCATACCCCCCAGCAGTTTCGCCCCTATTGGTTATGCTTGGTTTTAGTTATTTGATCTACGGAAGAAATCCTGAATAGAGCTGGATGAGAACCGATTAGCTACATTAATAAAAAGAGGGTACTGACGTGGATGCATAGAATTTATTACAAAACATGCCCAAAACAAATTAATGAACAATTCAGTGAACGAAAAACAAATTTGCAAAAACCTCTTCAAGTTGAAATCATAAGATACAAGAAAGAAAATGGACGGAACTTATTTAAGTATAGAGGTTGAGTCCTTTGGAACTCAATTAACAATAACCTGAAGAGTGAAGAAAATATAACAACTTTCAAAAACAAGATAAGCTCTAGAGAGGGGCTGAAGTATATTGTATGCTTGTGTCAATAACAATTGTAAAATACTTTGCTATTTACCGTAGCTAACATTAAGCGTAGCTAGTACAACCGTAGCTAATGGGGGGAAATTTTGCAAAAAGGGCGTTTCCCCGCATTTGCGAGTGTCTGAAGGGCGTGGTCCAAAAAATTTCTGGGGGCTTCGCCCCAGACCCCCTCACTACTGCAGCCCTGGGTACGGCACTGTTTCTGGGGAGCATTCCCCATGCTTTACTTTCTAACTTTTGTCCTGAACTGGGGCCCATAAGTCCTCTCCGCGGCCCTGCTTAGGTCCTCTCACTGATTTTATAGAAGTTCAAAATTAGATTTTAGTTATTTTCTTAAGGAGCAATGTATTGAGCAGACCACTGGTATCAGATTTTTTAAGATATTTTGGTCTAATTTAGACTCGAAAAAGTGCGCTTTACATGGGGTAGGTTCTTGACTCAGAAAGTAATATTTGCGAAGCAGTTAGAAGAACGGTTGATACTAAAATATTCACAAGGGTCCAGCCAGCACTTGTCAACTTCTCTGTCAACCAAACATACTTTCATGGTAAATTTCTGACCGCTAGATAATGGTTCAAATGCTGGTTATTTTGGCGGCCATTTTGCTTGACTTAAAATACTTTCATTAGAAAAATCTGACACTTAGTGGTGTACATATCAGTGTGCAGGGTGTCAGACCACCAAACAGTTCATACACTTGGCCCTCTTAAAACGGTCTGGTCCACATAATGGGTTTCACTGAGAAGACTCATGATCTCGGATCAAGGCTAGAAAATTTTCAACCGCCTACAGTTGTAAGCAAGTTTAAATATCCAAGCTCAAAACCTAAAATATCGTCACTCAAACCTAAAGAAGGCCTCTTTTGTTAAAGACAAAAACAACAGTATTTTGCACGATGTTTTCACCGAAAGATAAATTGCACTGCGAGGTTAGAATCATTATACCAGCCCAAAAAACTCAAACTGCTCGCAACCACGTATAGCTATGGTCATACGTTTTTGATAAGCTTTAAAAGGAAAAGCTTCTTTTGCATTTTAAGATTCTTTTATAAAAACTGAAAAGTTTCCCTTTGCTCTCATCTCCCAAGTCTTTATTCTTTAGTAACTTCTAAACTTCTAAACAGTCGGTTTAACGTATTTTATTTTCATTAAAACAAATTATGTAACTTAAACTGTGAATGCACATTGATTTCTTTTTCACCATTTCGAATCACCCCTTAATAAATCTAACAAAATATAATTTTACATGTTTGTGTGATTGGCTAGCAAATACTTCTGGATTAGGATTTCTGGCTACAGCTCTCTTTCAATGTATTTTCAGCTAGGAGCACGCTTTCTACAATTCATAATCGCCAAACCGAGAGCTTCATGATATATAAAGACCTTTTAACAAAACATTTTAGCATTCAGTTAATAATTTTTATCACTCTCATATCGAAGTTTGTAGTCACTTTTATTCTGGACAGGACGCATATTAATCGCAATGAACGTAGCTATGAAAAGTATATCCAGTATAAAAATTTTGAAGTATTATTATGACTAATTCTCACTTGATCTAGGTTTTCTAGAGACTTTTTGCTACGGTTCATGCTAAATGAGTAAATCAGACGTGATGGGCATAAATGCAATTTTTGCTCTTTAGATAGGGATGTTAGATGGAGGGAAGCGTTAAGCCCTTCTGGGCGTTAACCATTCATAGCCTGAAGACTTTCAGGATTCTTGGAGTTTTTGTTGCTCGACAGATAATTTACCTTGAAATGTCGACCAATTCCATGAAAAATTGAACTGCAAGAATAGACTTGGAGTTCGTGAAAACAGTTGCAAGAGCTGAACATTGACATGAGCAATCTTGATTCTTGAAGTCAGTGGCCAGGGCTGTCGCTTCGGGGCGGGGATGTGTGGGGGGGTGTGACACCCCCCAGACCCTAACCTTGTCGGCAAATCTTCGAAAATGGAAGTTTTGTCGTCAACCTCTTTGAAACTGGCAAATTTTCAGAAGAAGAAAGACAGAGAATTTTGCCATTTTCAAATAGATATTATCGGTTGTTGATGACAGCACCAGTCACAGTTGAAATTTATGAAAACCTAACGAGAATAATTGATGATCGTTCAAACTCTCTCGTGCTAAAGGCCAGGCGCAGTCTGGCCCGGGTGGCAAAGTGGCGATCCCCAACGGGCCCCCAGACATGTAAAGTAAAGAAAAATACGGGCCCTTTCTGCAAAAGTTGGAGTGTAGAAGATAATTTTCATAAACTGGAAACTAAAGTCACAGCCAAGGCCCCTAACATGCGTGTTGGCTTCACAACTAAGCATCAAAATGAAGTCTGCGCGCAGGCCAAAGGGCCCCACTATGACCAACATCCACTATACAGAAACTCTATTTCAAATTTCGCACAAAGGCAAATCTGTCCTACTTCCTAGAGAAATAATTTGAAACTGTATGTAGCGACCAAGGAGCTGTTGTTTTTAGTTAGTTGTCTAGAGTCGCCATTGTTACATTTCTAGCTAATAATGACCTTCCACACATGATCGAACGTTACCTAGGGTTGTATCACTTTAAGGGAAGAAAGTTGCGCAGGAAGAAAGCTTCTCAAATTGGAAAATTGTTGGAATCAACTTAATAGGAGCTTTGCAAAAGCGAAAGAAGCGAAATAGGAGCTTTGCAAAAACAAACTTTCGCGTTTTAGCGAAAATCATGGACTTTGCGTGAAAAACATTTCTATTCAATTGAGGTTTCCTTCTATTTTTATTCCACATGATACCAGCAAAACACCGAAAAAGATGTAAAATTTGTCCAACTTAATAATTCTTCGTCAAAGTTTTCAAGAGGATCAACAGCAAAATATTCTAGATATATCACAAAAATAAATTTTCGCAAATTTAGTATTTTAGGAAGTTTTGCGTATCAATCATCCGCGATTTTAGGCCATAAACGCTAAAAAACGCAAAGGTTCCTTCCCTCGCAAGTTTTTCTCCGTGAAAATTTCTTTCCTTGAAAGTTTCTTCCTTGAAAGTAGTAAGCAACAGTTGAAGGCCTTCCCTTGCTGCCCTTAAAGTTTTTCTTTTCTCTGAATCCCTCTGCAAGGTGCATGCTTAAAAGTTATAGTGAAGTTTTTCTGTTTGCTAATTGTTAAATGAACAACGTGTTTAGAATAATAAAGTTTGGTACAAACTAAGGAATATGAAAAGATGACACATAAAAGAAAAGAACATGCAGGTTGAATTTTTGATCATTTTCTTGGCTCACTTTCAGAATACTATATATATACTATATAAGGTTCGCTTGAAAATATTGTAAAAATTGTCAGACTAGGATTGGTATTTTGAACTGTTATTAGAGTTTCTTAGAGTTACAAATAGAACAATTGTTTTGCTGTTATTGTGCAGAGTTTAACTCCATACATAGAGTCCTTGATTTAAATAGAGAACCACAACCGTCAATAATTGATTTGAACTGAGCATATTTTAGCCTTTTCTCGCATTAGTTGGTGTGGCTCAAAAACGTTTATCTGCCACACCCTGAGCCGGGACCTTTTGGTTTGCTGGCCACCCTGCAATTATGACACTGAGCAAAACTGAAATATAGCAGTTTGAGAAAAAATATTCGCGAGTTTTATCAATGATAATTATAATCATTTGAGAACCACGCCCGTATCTGTTGCCACGCCCATTTTGTCGGCAAACCACTGGTTTTGCAACCCTTCCTCCCCCCCCCCCATTGTCAGTGGCTTGCTTGTTTGAGATCATGCTACAGTTACCGAAGCTTATAGAAAGAGACGAGTTGCAGGAGAGTTCGAGGTTTGTTTGAAGAGGCAAGGGAGAGAAGATGGCGTGGGCGGGAGTAGGCAAGTTATAAGTAACATGAATAGTAACAAAAGCCTAATCAGATGTTATCTCGTTATTTCAGTTTTGATAAATTGAAGAAAGTTACGAAGTGCTTGCTGTTGAACTTTCTTTGTGAAATTGCCCAAGAAATACACAACTGTGCCAAGGATTTATTTTAATGTAAGTTATGTTTTAGATAATTGAGAAGTAAAGTTTTTACCCAATTGAAGTACTTAAGCAAGCGAAAGTTTAAAGATCAGACCATCAAACTATTATACAGCAAACTTTTTTTCGACAGTGGACCGTATTAAGGTGTGGATCTCTTAGGCATATGTTCCATAATCTTTCCACCATTTGTGCAGAATGCTAGAGCGTCCATCAAGAATCGACAACTTGTGTTTGAAGAGGATTGTGAGAATTTGTGTTTTGAATTATTTAATAATGGATTAATGATGGATTTAATAATGGATTAATGATGGTGGTTTAGTAGTTGCAGGTCTAGGTAAAAAATTTAATTTCGACTAACAACGCTTGATGATACTCCAATGATAATAATAGAACCAGTGTAAATATTACCAGTTGTAAACGTAAACTTTGGTGGTTGGGTATTGGTCAATATGGGGTCAATGTGCATACCTGCAATTGACCATAAAGCAACAAATGAAGTATGTATACATGTTGCTATGAATCGGTTTTGAAGTCGAGTGCTGCCATGTGTCAGAGGCAGCAACCACTTTAACAGTGAACTGACATTGACCCTTGAGAGACAAAATTATGCAGGAAAAATTATTTTTGTCCTTCTGTGCCAAGCTCATTTTAGGCTACATAACAGCAAAGCAGATTTTTGCTGAAGATGCTTTTTTCATGGCAACCGCAGATATCGATGATGACAAGAGCGTAATGGAAAATATAATTGGTGAATCTTTTCATTATTGCAGTATGGATCCCAACTGCAACATCTTGTTACACAGTAGTAACACAAAGAAATACCTTGAAAAGCTGCCTGATAATGTGCCAAAGGAAACAAGGGTCTTTATAAAGCAAAAAAGGAAAAAGGGTGGGTACATATGCTTGTCTCTGTTAATCACTGCTAAAGTACGCTAGCCTCATTCAGAGGTTATTACATCGACAAACATTTATACCACGTACTTTGTTTGGAATCTCAAATATTTTGAAGGTGAAAAATTTTAAAACTTTGATTATTCAAGAAAAATCATAGAGGATGAAGGTGAGCTTGCAAACATTTTAAAGGGCGTAAAACATGGAATCCTGCAGGATCATTATTTTTGTCTAAGTTGTCACAAACCACTCGTATTTATCTCAAGGATTTCCCTATTATCTAACGATTCATTCTTAAGACTTTGGACTGGCAGGACGGTTTGTCCTCTTCTCTAGACGGCAGGAACCTTATGTAGAAATGTGACGACAGATACCAAAGGAAGTGCAACGGATCAAGATTCGAATCATACGAAAAGAGATGGAAGATGGAAGATGGCAGAAAGCAGTCGCAGGCAGCCTTACGGCTATATGGAAACCAGGCTTTACGAACTCTCTTTTCGAATGATTCGAATCTTGATCCGTTGTACTTCCTTTTGGGGCCCTTACGGTGCCGCCGACATGGCAGCTGGAAAGTGTTTCCATTAAACTTTTCACTGCCGGTGTAATATGCGTTTTGGTACCCTATGCAAAAGTGTAACATTGTAAAACGCAATGTGTTTCAAATCATGTGATTTCATCGTAGTGCGATATTATGACACGTTATAAATAACAAATTGAACACAATGCTTTTTTGAGTTTAAAATTTCACATTTTTAAATCAAAAAAACTTTGGAGTCGCCATTAATGTTTTACTTTTTTGTATAAACTTAACAAGGGAAATCACAGCACTGCTTCTTGTTAGTGCCCCTTGTTAGAAATAGTTTGATTGTTCTTTACGTTCTGAACAATATAAACAAGAACATTTGTGTTCCAAGACCGGTTCGCATGCTAAATTCCACCATTCGTTTCGGTTCCCTGTTTTTTAAAAGCTTGGGTACGTTTTTGTATAAACAAAATTGCCATGCGTTTGTGTGCCCGGACCGAAATGCATAAGGTTACCGAAACGCATATGACACCGGCGGTACCGTAAACATGGCAGCTGTGGATGGAAGCTAGGTGCCGGCGGCAGTCTAACGGCAGTTACGGTTATATGGAAACCAGCCTTTACGGCAGCCTCCCGGTACCGCCGGCAGACAAATCACAAATGGAAACGCCTTGCCTGCGGCTGCCGGCGGCATTCTTTTGTTCAAACGAATCATGTGATGTGCAAGAACCAATTGAAAAAGGGCCTTTGGAAATTGTTATCGTTTTTCATTGTCACATCTTTCCAAAAAAACATGGCGTCGTCCTCGTCTTTCGTAGTCGAAACTTCGGAACAGATCTCAGAAATTAGTAATGAAAAAGTAATGGACTGCAAAAGAAATTATCGTTCCATGTACGACAAGAAATGCAAGGACCATAAAGTTCCTCCCAAAACCTGTGCTTTCTCTCAACTTTATTGCGTCTTCTTCTGTGTCTCATGTAAGCAAGTAGCAATATGTATTCATATTGAACCAATAATCGTTCCTTTATGGCAACAGCCATGTTTGTTGTTGAATTTTGCCCGCCAGTTTTTCCCGCTCAAACTTTACCTAGTTACCGGCATAGTTACCGATACCGCAGGCAATTGCAAACAAAACGTTTCCATTTGCCGGCGATAACGTAAGGGTGGAAGATGGCAGAAAGCAGTTGCAGGTAGTCGCAGGCAGTCGCAGGCAGCCTTACGGCTATATGGAAACCAGGCTTAAAGAACTTCAAGAAATCACTTGATGTCCACAAAAGTTATGGCATTGTTTGATGTTCTTTCGAATGACATAATATTTTTGTCAATATATTACCCAAAGATATAAACTAGGAACCGGGAGTAAAGGGGGCATGTGCCCCTAACCCTTTCAAAACCAGCGGTCATGTTCCTATTTGCAGCGCACAGAGGTGTCCTTTTTGCCATCATGTACTTCTCATTGACTTTTGAATTACCTCATATGCTTAAATGCAATCAATGTTTTGTTTCTATCTTGATACTGTGCGATCGAGTTGAGAAGGCCATTTTATTGCAAAAGTAAGGTCAAGCAGGCTGTAGCTGAACTAGGCAAGGATTTTGCAAACATTTCTACGATTTTTGAGCGCTTTTCCACAAAAATACATGACTGATTTCAGAAACGGAAATTTAACCGCAAATAAGGAAACAAAAAATAAAAAAACTCGTTATTGGAAAATTGTATCACACAAGCAAATCATTAAATAATTTTATTAAATTCAGCAAAAGCATTTTTATAGCATCTAATGTAAGTGTCAAGAAAAACAACCAATAAAAAACATCTGGACAATTCATTGCAAAAAAGCAACGATTTGAATAAATAATCAGTCTACATACCTATATTTCTTTTATACCCAAAGATCCTGAGCCAGATATCGATGAGTGCAAAACTGGATCACACGACTGTCATATGCATGCTCGTTGCACGAATACAGATGGCTCTTTTCACTGTGCTTGTTCTAATGGACATTCGGGGGATGGAAAAACCTGTGTAGGTAAGTTGAAGTGAGCTTAGCTCGGCCAAGTGTCTCCAAATAAGCTGTAAGCTTGTTTTTAGACCTATGTGTATAGTTGGAGCAGCCTTTCAATTTTATATATACAAAAACCAGTATAAATATAGTGCTATAGCCTAGAATACAACTGTTGAAGATTTTCAGTTTTCAGACGATGATCCTTCTCTATCATAACCTGGTGACAGAGGGGAACTTAAAGTCAAATGTCAAGTTACCAATTGAGAAAGGCATCGTTTGCTTTTTAAACTTATTGTAATTGAAGTTGGACGTTTTACGTTGACACCGTGTACCTTCAAAGATCTTTTGAACTCCGCGTAAGGTGCTGGTTGCTTATTACACGAATCTACGCTACGGTATTAAACGTAAGGATAGGTCGCATTTTAGTTCAGTGGTTCATTCTAGACAATTTTCTTGGCTGTAATTTTTATTCAAAGTCAAAACAACAATAACTTTTGGGAAAGAGAAATGACCATTTATTTAACATTAAATTCGAACTGCAATTTCTCTCCATGTGATTCGCCATTCTCCTTTTACAATCACTTGGATCGAGAGAGATGAGAAAAAATATATATGAAAACTGAAATAACTGCAAAAACTAATCAATTTCGATTGCCTACATGAAAAATTAAGAAAATTATTAGAAATTCTTGGGAGTAGTGTAAACAAAGTGAAAGAGACTAGCTATAAATTTCAGTCCTCAATTTTTAAAAAAAACTATACAAATGCCATGTTATCAAAATAGCATATATAAACTATGTATATGCTGTGTTATTAACAGGTATTAGCAAAGAGCTTTTTACTGCTCCTTGCTTTTGACATATACACCAGTGTCCTATTCTGAGTCAGTTAACAATTGCCAATAAATCCTTCTCACCTTCTAACATGGCAAATCATTCTGTTTAGCTATGTCGTACAAACTGCAAACTACATTCCACAAACAATCTTATGTCTCTTCTCATTCTAGATGTGAACGAGTGCCTGGTGGGCATTCATTCGTGTGACGTCAATGCTATCTGCCACAACACGATAGGGTCATTCTCGTGTATCTGCAAAGGTGGTTTTCAAGGGAATGGAACGTCATGCACACGTAAGCACTTTGTACCCTACAAAACTGCAAAACACAATTTTGCGTCACTAAGGTACCACGAAGAAAACTATCAATTAAAGAGAGAGGGGAGGGGGCTTAAAAGTTTTAACGACGAAAAAAACCAAGAGAAACATATTCATTGTATGAATTAAAGTACATTTGGGAATCACTTGGAGAAAGTGAGCCTTCCCCCCCCCCCCGCGGTCCCTGCTTTCAATTGTAATAATGGTTTACTACAACTACCCATCATACTCAAACCAAATGTGTATATATAGAAGATTTTGTACTGTAACAACCGTAGGCAGACCAATCTCGGAGCAAGTACAAGTAGTTAACTTGCTTCAGAATGCTGTCACTACAAAACTAAGTTTAGGCATAGAAAATAAAGGGAAATAGGCGGGGTTCTTGTGGCAGTATTGAAAGGGGTTTTGGAAACGAATACCAGAAATCTAGATCGCTTGATTATTTCTGGAACATTTGCTGTTATTGCCTGCTTGATTTCTGTCAAAGATATTTTAGCCCATGGTTTGGCACAGGCACCGCGGAGCAGGGGAGGGAGGGGCTTTAGCCCTCCCCACTTTTCGTAAAAAATGCAAAAAAAATTAAGAAGTGAACCACCAGTAAAGCCTTTTTTATTCGGTATAAGCCCCCTCCCCCCACTTTACTCAACGCTCTGCGGTGCCAGTGGCAACAGACAGAGCTCTGGTGAACCAGGATTTGCTTAACTATTTTCAACCTTGTCTACAAATTTACTTCGAAAAACTTCAATTTCCATGAAACTTATATTGATATTGTTAATCCTATTTGATACAAATCATCAATTTACTATCTAACAAATATGTAAGTAGCAAAATACAGGGACGCCGGAGGACATTTTAGAGTGAGGGGCCTAGAAAAGTGGGGGGGGGGGTTCCTACGTGGTTTGCCACCATTATCTTTGATTCCACAACCTTGATCACATTTTAGCGATCCCCCCTAGAATCCCCCCTCCCGAATCCGGCGAGCCAGTAATATACAAATAAATTTTTTTGCCGACATTGAAGGTCTTCTTGTCAGTCAACGATTATTTGATTCACTAGTTCACATGTTTTGATCTTTTTATAACAGCTTTTTGGGAAACAGGATACATATACAAACCGAACTACAGTATGGGTGATATTGAAAGCAAAGATGATTGTTACCAGCGATGCAAAAATGAAGGCTATGCCAGGGCTATGTTTAAAGAGTCAGGACGGTGCAGCTGCTCGACGACAAGCGCAAATCCAGTATCAAACGCGGAGTACATTACACGAATTATTATAAACTAAACAAAGGTAGGTGATTTATGAGTAAAAAACAAGCTCTAAGTTAACCGTGATTCCTAAAGTTCTGCTACGTTTTTTTGCCTGATTCCCCCGATTATCAATCCCGAATCCCGGTGTTATCGATTCCTGAATCCCGCTCAAAAAAAAATTTGCCAATTCCCGATACCCGACTCAAAAAATGACGATAACCGCTTCCCCGAAAAACATCTTGGGTACCTTCAGAGAACAGATACAGTCAATTACTATAAGTATGTAAATGGCAACAAAAGACAAAATAAACCAAAGTTTTCATTGGAAGTTCAAGACGCTGTTTCAAAAATAGAACATTTTTGGCTTCAAAAATGCCCACTATATGCTGACGAAACAGATACTTAAGTTCATGTCAGTTCAAATAAAACTGAATCCATGTCTGTAATTAATAGAATGTATTAGTAGAGACACTTTTAGGGTACAAATGTAACTAATAGATAAACGATGATGACGATGATGATGATGATGTAAACAGAGCAATGCATAATTCTGTATACTTTAGAGTAAACTTTTATCGGCACAAGATTTATTACCAGGAACCAAAGGGTCATGCATTTAACATTTTAACTTGAACAGCATACGAGAGGAAGAAAATGCCTGCAGCTCAGTTTAAACTCAACGGTACCCTTAAAAATGTATTCTAGTTTTGTTTAGGTAGGGTTGTATCGTGAACAATAACATTTGTAACGAACAAACACGGATAATTTTTCTAATTCAGTTTATGAGCAATTTCAGTCAAGTTTATTAATCTTTGTTCATCAAGGCCGATTTCCATTTGACATTTTTTGTCCGCGCGGGCGTAGCGCCCAAATCTGAGCATTTCTGGCAAAAGCACCCGCAGCCCCCATGCTTCGCATTGCCTGAAGTAGAGGTTTTGCTATCGACTTACAATAAATAGACAAGAATGAAAATGGCCATAGGCTTTTAGGTAAATATATTAAAATCAGGTAATACACTATCATCATTCTAGCCCATTGAATTTAGTCTGGCCTTCGTGTAAAATAACAGTACAAAAATGCACTTTGTTACGTAGTTACGTAGGAAGTAAAGTTGTGTAAGTGTTCTAGTAATTTTACAGTGCTGTCCGACGTACCTTCGTTCATTGTGATATACGGAACCTACCAGTTTTGGATAATTAAAAATGTTATCCCATAAAGACACTTGACCAAACTGCCCAACCTCCTCCCCCTGGTCACTGTGCAACTGTTCTAAAAGTAACCAGCTTTAGCACCTTTAATCCACAAACTCTACCTTTATCGTTAGCATATAGAATAGCTGTGACTATAATCTGCCATTAAATTGGCTTTGATTAGTTTATTTAGAGCCTATTATGAACCTATAATACGACACAGTGTACTTGTATTTTCTGCAGTTTAGCCCTGGAACTGAAAAGAAAAACACAGACTCTTAATGAACAAGATTTTTTGACTGTAGAATTGGATATTCTTTTCATTTATAGAGAAGACTAAGTATTTGAAAGCGAACCGAAATACGAGTGATTGCACAGGCTGAAACGGAAATGGCCACACCGCAGCAAAAATTTTTAGCGAACCAAAATTCAAGTAGCCATAGCAAGTTTCAAGTAGCTGGCTCAGGCATGTATCGGTTGAGGGAGCGCAATCACGCTCCTGTGTCGCAAAACTACAGTCAATGTTCTCACAAGAGAATGTTTGAAAACTGCGGCTAAATTATGATTGAATATATATTATAAACACTGAATAATGAAAAAAATTCTTTAATCATAAGATTGGCAACAGAAAGATACTGAATGAACAAGCAAAACAGGTTCCATCATTTTGTCATAAAATGATGCCGGTTGCATTGAACTTTTTCATTCTTGGGAAAAGCAACCCATTAAATTTTAACATCTTGTACACAAAATTAGGCATAACCAAACGGAAGTGGTTCTTAGGTAAACAAAAAAATGTGAACGCTCGTAAAGCTCAATCTCCAAAGAAATCATTGACAAAAGAGCAAATTACGTTGCATCGATTAAATATGGCCATATTTCAACGCACAGAACAAAAATGGAAACCTTTAAACGCTTAGCTTTACTGTTATTTATAGAACTCGTGATCTTGTTCGTCTTTTTTCATGTTATTTTTGTAGCCCTTTTCAAAGTCCTTTGCTAGCACGATGTAACGGTTCTCTCTAACAGCTTGCATACCAGCCTTAAAGACAACATATGAAATTCATAAACAAGAAACAAAAACTCTTATAACAAGATAATTAGATACAAAAATAAAATGAAAAATAGACTAAATATCACACTGTGAAATTTCCGAACTGTCTCTGACTCAAAGCAATGCTAGAAATGTGAAAGCCATCGTTTGGGGCAGTAAAGCTATCGTAGATGACCTTATGGAAACCTTGAATTATGGAAGCAAAAAATACCTAAAAATGGAGGAACATTGACATAATGAAAGAGCAATTTGCAGGAGAGCAATTGTCAAGAAAGCAAAAAAAATATTATGGTATTACGGTATAACGGTAATACCATAATAATTTTTGGAAGAAAAGGTTGCTCTGGGAAATAGAAAACATTTGAAGATACTTGACACCAGTTCTGACTGCATGTTTTGCAATACAAAGAGCATAGGAGGTAAATCCTCTTTTTCAACATCTCTGCTACTTTAATTGCCTACTCTTACTTCAAATCCCAATTATCTGATCAACGTGACATAGACGCCCTTCTGTTAATGTCCCCTATTAGCCATCCAGGGAAAGGGATAGGAATAGGCGCCTGAATCCTCTACTTGATTAAGCATATAGGATTCTGTATTTCAAAGCTGGTTAGAACAAAATATAAAATGAAGAAGTGTGAAATCCTTTGACAACACCAAAAAGTGGATGCCTTTATTATTAAAACAATACATAAATGTGCAGCATCCTCAACGCCTCTGTAATAACACTCCCTCTCACCCCTAGCCCCCTCTAGCCCCCCTCCAGGGTGTCAAATGGAGGAGTTATCGTATAAAAAAGAACATTAACTGAATAACTGAAGCCTGAAAAGTAACAAAAGTTGGGAAATTTCACTGAGAACATATATGCTCTAATATGTTGAACAGGACGGCTCTACATTGCAACTCCAAGTCAGCGAAGCTCGGCCTATACAACGTAAAGCACTAAATTACAGGCTTGAAAACTATAGTTTTCATATTAATAAAGTGTATCCTCATCTTAGAATGTCAACTTTGAATGCTTGAAAGTAAATACAAAAAGTAAATCACCTCTTGGCAAATGGCGTTGATATCAGCACCACTTATTTTATCTGGTCGTGCAACATCTGTACTTCGTTAAGAAGAAATACGAACAACAACTTGAATAACGAAAATTAACATTTTTCATTATCTGCAGAACAACTTGCCTGAAGAGAAATAGTTTCTTAACACGTCTTAATTCGGATAGGCAGACATCAAATATTGTCACCATCAAACAAAATTGATTCGTAGCATAAATACTCTAAAAAAGGTGAGCAAAAATCATTTTGCATTGAAATAGACATTGAAATAAACAGACGATTTTGCATTGAAATATTGGTGTGAAATCGATAAAAACAATTGACGAGAAAGGATACAATCTTCTAGATCAACCTCATCTGATAAATTCATTTTAGAAGTGACTGTTGAAAATATCAGGCGTTTTTGTCTTCTGTCGGGCATTGGAAATTCAATTTTTCTATCGAGCCTTCCTGGTCGAAGTAAGGCGGGATCCAACGTGTCAGCTCTGTTCGTTGCCATGATCACCTGGAACAAACACGCACGTGATTTAAATAATAAGAAGGCCTTAAGCAGCTTTCAACTTCATGAACGATGTCTGTTTACTGTTTAAGTTCTCTAACACGAACAGAAATATCGATCCTAGATTCGTTGATATAATAGGAAATAATTTTCATCGTTATCACAACACAACATTGTTCAGTTTGTATAGGTAAATTTTTGCCAGTAAAATTTGAATCACTTTTGTCATCAAACGAAAATCGAGCTACACACTTGACTCTTCCAATCACTTTCCAATCGCTCTCCCAATCACTTCCAATCACTTTCAATCACTTTCAATAACTGATTTCAAGCAGTTAATAAAAACGGGCGAAAAAAACCCCTACCACCACGACCTCCTTGATGTTCATGGATGCATTTCAAGCTTTGTAGTCAGGGTGTTACTAGTAGAATTGACTGTAGAATCCATGGGGCCAACATGCATCAGAATAATAAATTAAAATTGTTTGTCTCCGTCTTTTTGATGATGATGACAACAAAGGTTCATCGCAAGGACCCTTGTCAAAGAGAATTTGTAAAAAACATACTAGCTCACCTTAACATTAACAGTTTGATCGAAACCATCCATTTGATTCAAAAGTTCTAAAAGAATTCTCTGTACCTCCCGATCAGCTGCAATATTTAAAAGAATAAATTAAAAAAATTTAAGCGTTCATAATATCTCACGAACTATTTCTTTTTAAAGTATAAATTTGAGAATCAATAAAAATTGAGTGACTACAAACAATTTAAGAGCTATCAATCAAAACGTGTTCATATGGAAATCCGGAAATGTGCATCAGCAGACTCTATGTCCAGATTCAAATACAAAAGTGGAGCAGAACGATTGCATTCCTGTGTGACAGAAGAAATAGGGGGCGTGTGATCGGTTAAATTCCACGAGAGTAGTTCAATTATACATTTGTTCCAAAATTTGGAACGCAATTGGAACGGTACCCAATCATTCCCGTGTGAGTGGGGCCTTAGTTTTCGGTCTTCTTTGGCAATTAAAAAATTCCATAATTCTTATAGACAAGCTTTAAAGAAAAGCCCAAGTACTTGACAGCTTGACATTACTACATAACAAAATCAAAAAATTGTTTCAAGGGAAAAATAAAAGAAGTCAGATTTACCCCCAGTTTGTGCATCAAATCTTTTAGTGGCAATGGCATCGATTTCATCAATGAATATAATTGATGGCGAGTTTTCTTTGGCCAATCGAAAAACGTCCCTGACCATCCTTGGTCCTTCTCCTAAATACTTCTGAACAAACTCCGAACCAACAACACGAATAAATGATGCTGTGGTATGGTGTGCAACTGCCTTTGCAAGCATAGTTTTGCCACATCCGGGTGGTCCATACATTAAGACACCCCTTGGAGGGTCTATTCCAATTTGTCTGTACAAGTCAAAGTGGGTAAGTGGGAGTTCAACAGCTTCTCTTATCTCTTGCTTTTGTATATCCATGCCTGTAAAAAACATGCTCAGATCTTCAATCATGGACAAATTAATTTTCAATCACAGATAAATTCACTGACATAAACTAGGTTAGCAACTAGGAAGCCTAAATATAGTTAATAGCCTGCATTAAACGAATACCTTTTCCTTTAGAAATATCAAGCTATTTGTGGTCATGTACTTGCGAAACCAGTGAAACAAGTCTTTTCAAACAAGTTTAGTGAAACAAACAAGGAGCCAGTGAACTTTGAAAACTAGTTCACTGAACAGCAGATCTTGCCTTTACGACAGCTATTAATACATTTGGTGTCTAAGAGCTACTATTGCTACTTCGTTTAAAGCACAAATTTATTTACAATTCATATATAGCATCATAATTATATATTCCAGTGTTAGACTACATAAAGCACTTGTTAGATACCATTGTCAAATTGCTATGTTTAAAAAAACGAGTCCTTGCAATTCTTTTATTAAGTAAATTTGATTTGGTTTGGAAAGGCATACAGCTTCATGGGTTCAAATGGACAAGCAGCTTTCTTTTTAAAACCAAAAAATAAGAGAGGAAAAAGACGAGATGATTCAAATTGGAAGCAATACAACCTCATAGAAAAGACATTCAGGACACAAGAAATTCATAAAACATATTTTGGAAAATATGAAGATAACATACCTCCAATATCTGCATAGCCGACATCTGGTTTTTCTTCAGCTGACAGCATTGCAATACTGCTGTCTGCCTCTGGAGGAAGAACATCAACTAATGCATTTGAATGCTTGTGTAATGCAACTGAGGCATTTGGTTTCAGCAACTCTTTATCAATTGTACTCAGTATTCTGACATAGTAGTTTGAGCCTGGAAAAGCAAATGTTTTACCAATTTTCATTGACTTTCAGTGGAAATTTAATGTAAATTTACATCCAACAAAGGTTTAAACCATCAGAAAAGTACAGACATTGCGAGGACTTTTGCTAGTATGTTTCAAAAAAGAAATTGCTACTTGTGTCATCAATCTTTGTTGGCAGGTTGAGGCAGAGCAATCATTAAAAAATATTTGATAATCAGCCACAAATATTGACTATGACATGAATATCAAAAAATGTGATTATGATGAATGACTAAAAATGGAAGTTAAGAGGTAATGACTAAAAATGGTTAATGTTAAGAGGTAATGGTAGAAATAGGCATTAAAAATTGTACAAAAACCCCTTGTACATAAATTTGAAAAATAAATCATTGGTTGAAAATTTGATATTAAAATCAAAAGGTTATGAGGAAATTTACTCCTTCGTGGAAAAGCAACATGGAAAATCTCCTTTAAAGTCTAATTCCAGCCATTTTGCGCTTTATTGAAAGGAACAGTGCAGGATGATATTTCATATTTGTATCATATGTAGAACCATATAAACACAGCTTGTAGTTTGGAATGATTTTCATAGCTGCAATCAAGAGCCAAGCCATATCCATTTTAGAATGATTCCAAATCGAAGCATGTTCCTAGTAATTACTGTCTTGAACTCATATGTTTATCCAATATTGAATTTGAGTTCAGTTTGCACCAGACAATAACCTAGGAACAAAGCATGAATGTAAAACAAGAACTTTCATCTATGGATCATATAACATAATGACTGAAAGCTGTTACCAGTTGTTGATCCAACTATTCCAGTGTTCTGATCAACAGCCTCAAGAAACTGTCCAATAACTAAAGGAACAGACTGAATCCTCTTCACTTCCTCTTGGGCATGCAAGTACTCCTTTTTAAGGTTCTTTTGCTCATCTTTAATGTATTCCTCTTGCACTTCTAAGAATTCTAGCTGCTTTTGTAACTTTTTGTACTTGATGTAAAGATCATTAACAGTTGCATCAAGACTGAAACTTGAGCTTGCTGCTGCAGATGACTGGGGTCTGGATAATGCAACGTCAGCCTAAATGGAAATAATTTTCAAGAGCTTGTAAACCTGGATGTATAATGGAGAAATGCAGTGATAAACTGAATGCTTAGGGCAAATTTGTTAAATCACCTTAGGTATGGGGTATAATTGGGGAGGGCTTATTAAAGAGAAGTCAATTAAAAGAGTTTTTGGCAAAGGAAATATAAATCAATGCACAACATCTTTACACAATTCTGATCAATGATTCCAAAATCTCAAGCATTTAAGTGAACTGGTAAAAGCTTCAGGTGAGAATTATATAGTTTAATACTAACAAAGATTAATTATGAGCATAAGGTGAATTGGTAATTTAGTTCCAGTAATAGAGAGTTTGGGCTATGAATAGAGAGTTTGGTGCATGTTTGAGGGAGATACTCAACTAACAAACAATACTTGTTGGTTAAAATTTTACTGGTTGTAGCAATGATTCAGTATTAAATGTCTGTAAATTCTATTTTTAATAAGAAGTATACTTTAAAGTCATTTCCCATAAGACTATCAGTATAACAAAAGGATGAGCCTGTAAATATGTCACGCTTGTTGTTAAACTAACTTAAACTGTAAAAAGTACAAACTCTGTCGTTATACACCTAAATTTTAGATAAAGTAAACAATTTCGCACACAAGGCCTTACTATAATCCGCTGCCAAATGGAGATGTTTATATATCAAATTATGGCTTGGTGGTGGCTCTATTTAGGCTTGTTTCAATTCATTGCAAACTAACTGATTCAAGAGAATACTTTAAAGACTTCACATTTGAAAATACTAAACACATACATTTTTAGATACTGATTCTTAGGTTATATCTAAGCTATTTGCAATACAACTAAACTAGAAAGCACAATTTAATGTTGCCCAAAGAAGTTATAGCAATCAGTTTGTGACTCTCTAGTTGACAAAATTGTTTTCATATCCTTGACAAGACACGATTGAAAGTGGAGGCCAAAATATTAACATTGTTCAAGGGTTTCATGAAGACTGTCACTATTGTTGGTGGCAATAGGGATTGCCGAAAACTGCATCTAAAATATTTTCAGCATCAAATTTAGTAAAAATCCCTGGCAATATTCATAGGCTTTCCTTTATCGTTATGCCACCAGAGATAATTATTGTTAAAATTGAAGAAAACTGAATAAATGACTTAAGAATGCGGGTTTTTAAGGCTCCATACACTATATAATTAAACCTTAGGACAAAACACCAATATCCAGACCTTCCAAGTCTCATGCATTTTGCGTGAGACACACGCATTTCGCCCTTAACTCACGCTCACACGCATCAATGGAGAATTCTTACCCATTCTACTAAAATTTTTTTGGTGTCTCTAAATTTTTCATTTTGTTTTCCAACTCTAGCCATAACAAAAATCATTTACAAAAATTGACACAGGATAAACATAATAGAAATAATGAAGCAATTCTAAATTGAAGTCATTCTAACCTACTAATTTGGCTGTACATTTTGGCTTTAGTACTGTACTATTAGGGTCAAGCTGTTAGGTTCTTGAACATATAAACATATAACTGTTTTGTGTTTGAAAATTTTCTTCCGTGTGTGCCTTGAAATTCCATAACTTTTTAACCATCCCCGTGCCAGTTGCAGCACCAGCCACTAGGGTCAGGGGGGATAAGCAACAAATATTAGGCCATGCCCATTTTACCGCCTCGACGCCGATATTGCCCCCTGCTTTTCTCAAAACTCACTCATTTTCAAAACTGAAACTTGACAGGTCTGAATATCATTCCATCACACACCTAACACAGTCTAAGGGTGCGAAATGACAAGCATGTGCTAACTTATTCCCAGGAAGGCCTGAAGTTGATTCTTAATAGAAAAATATTGTACACAAAATGGTTTAGACATCTCATTTCACTTTGAGAAAATCTGTTAGTAGAGATATTTTGCTTGAATGTAAATAAAGGCCATGGTAACAGGCTAATTGACTCCAAGAAAATGTGTGTGGCAAAAAGTTGATAAAAATGCAGAAAACAAGGACCACCGCAACACGACAAGAACAAAGAACAGTAGACGCTACTTTGCCCCAGCATTAGGGCTTCATCAGAGCAAAAATGTAACCGTAATTATTTTGTTTTTTTGGTAACAAATTAGCCCAGATCACTAAATTTCCTACCAAGCATAATGCATTTTGGGTAAGTTTCATGTATTTTAGAAGCAAGAAACAATAGAAAGTGTATCTGGGAACATAAACTTGACAATAATTCTCCATTCCAGGGTTGATGTCATTGATTTTGCATTTGGCAATCTACATAACTTTCACAAAAATGGACTTTAGATTTGAAATCTTCATCTTGGGGTTAGATTATACTGAAACCTTGTTGTCATTGGACTATTCTGTTGCAAGTTACTTCAATTTGAATATTTAGATATTTCTTTAGATTTGACCAGATTATGCTGCTATTGAAATGAAAAGGGCAAGCTAAATTTTGAAAATGGGGTAATTCGCTTCCTGACAGCCCAAACAACATGAAACTTTTGGCACAGACTAATTTCAACATGAAAATTTTAGTTTTATGATTCATTTTTGGCAAGTTTAAAGGTAACAAATTGCATCTGTCGTTTCATAGATTTCCCAAAAAAACGTAGACGAGTTGCAATTTTCTATACAACAGAATAATTACCTTCTGATAGTACTTTTGATTTCAAATTCTAGAATCTCTTTAATTCAAAAATTGTCCAATTTTTAAGGAGTTTTAAACCACTCCTCTGATGATCGATAGACATTTGCACTGATATCTCATTCAATAGGATTTCACACTCAAAGCATCCTTAAACCTATTTGTCAAATCTTGCCAGCAAGCCCCTGGCAACAAATAATATTTCAAGATTAATTACTTTGCGCTAAATCTTACCGCTCCTTCAGTTATTCCTAATTCCTCCATGTTGAATTCCTTTCAAAGCCGAAATTTTCAGGCCCTCCAAGCGACGGCGAAACCGAGGCCCATTACCCACAATTCCATTAATCAACGAATCCGATTCAATCATTTCCGATCAACGACGGAATGTTTATGGTACAAACGTATAAACGAATTTAGAATTTTGTGAGAATATAACTTGACTTTCTACCTTGTTGAAAGGAAAAACGGTCTGAAGACAAGTTTGCAAGGCTGCAAGTTTTCTTACAAAAAAGTAGTATATTAAAAGTAGTATTCGGCTCAGGAAGTAAAAAAGGAATGTTTTGCAGAAAAACGCTGCATTTAAGTATTTCTGATTTTTCCTTATGTACACCTTAGTGAGTTAGTAGCTAAGTAACATACAAATAATGATTTTACAGCCAAAACCAATGTCGATTCTTTGTGAGCCTTGACTGAGACTCAAATCTGTGCCTTGCTTCCTCCCCAAAAATGTTTTTCTTTAAAGAATTACGTAGTACTTTAAAATGCCTAAGGTAAGGCAGTAAGTAACAACATTTTTGCTAAGAAAGTTCTAAAAAATTATTTTGAGTAATAAGAATTAGGATTCCTAAGAAAGTTCGATTACCGGGTCACTCTAATCATTCTCTGAAGAAATGATAATGATAAAAGGGAACTCTGGAGAAATATAACTTTTTGCATAATAGAAAACATCAAAATTCACTATGTTATGAAGATATTACAATTTACATACATAGCTTTGAATGTGATGGAAACACAACTACTTTTGAAAATTGCTAAATAAAATTACCAATAGAGTTTCTTACTTTGTAGAAAATACTGCAAAACTAAAGGCGAATCAGTGGGCTGACTTGAAAAGGTTCTATAAATTCACATCAAGCTATTACGCATTCAAATCAGTCCTAGAAATCAGGATCTGTTGAAATGCATGCGAGTTTCAATGCAGTTTCGCCATTGATTAAGGAAAACAGTGTATGCCGGGGATGTGGAAATAAAAAAAATAGGGAACATAATATACAACGAAAAGATACGCACGAAATGACGGGATAAAAGGGGATATAATGTGTATAAAGTGAAAGAAAATAGCTACAAAAATAAGATAAATAGTATTCTAGTCACCGGGAATCCGATTTTTTCTGCTAAACGAGCGGAATTTCGGGTCGCTAACACTGGATTTTCCAAATTTTCGCAGGTGTTTCCGGTTTTACCCGAACTTTTGTCCGGGTCTGCGGGTTCTCGTCCCCCTGGAGCTGACCTCAACAAGATCTTAAACATCTAAAAAGAGCCTGTTCAGGTCTGAGAGGTCTCTATGCAGATTCGAGATTCACTTCATTACCAACTACTTCGGGCGTACCCTCTGAGGGTTTTCGGGCTCTTAGCGAATAACATGTAAGATGCAAAACTCTTAAAATTCAGATTCTTTCTTTTAAACAAATAGAATCTATAAAGTTTAGAGTTTTATACTTTATGAAGCTTAATAAACGCAAGTATTGTACATGGAAAATTCCTGAAGTTTCTGAAATTTTTATTTCTAAAAGAGAACTTCAAGATTAAAATCATCTTGCCCTTTTCGTTGTCTGGATGGGATGCAAAAATGTAGTAAACTGTTTCTTTAAGCAATAACTTGAGTTCAATTTCCCAATTTTAGCATTTTTGCAAGAAAACTGAGACAAAATGAATTGAAAGAATATTATAAAAAAATTGAATACAAGGAAAATAGTACGAAACTACTGTTTCATTTAGTAATCTGGTTCCTGTCGAAAAACTTATTCTTGACAATATGTCTTATGCACTGCAAAAGGACGTTTCTTTCATGTCGAATATCATTCGCCAAAAGCTGAAACAAGAAATTTGTTTATTAATTTGATTTCATAAATATTGTAGATGAGACTGGAAAACATTGGTTGGCAAAGCAGCAAACGATCGAGGTTCAGGTACATATATCTTGCCGGGGAGAGGGAGGGGGGGGGGTTACGTGAGCTAGAAAGCACACTGAGACTGTCTGAGACGGCCTTTGTAAGAGGCTCAAGATCTTGCAAGACTTGTTAGATGGGCTTTGATATAATTATGAAGATAATCGGTTATTGGTTGGCTTCAAAACAACGGATAAACCAAGAATGCAGTTAGAGTCCAAGTTAAAGGGCGGGGATAAAGTAAAGGTTTGTAAGAGGCTCAAGATTTTGCAAGACTTGTTAGATGGGCTTTGATATAATTATGAAGATAATCCGTTATTGGTTGGCTTCAAAACAACGGATAAACCAAGAATGCAGTTAGAGTCCAAGTTAAAGGGCGGGGATAAAGTAAAGGTTCCCTACAAACCCCTACAAAGGAGAAATTCCTTCTGAATTTTCAAACAAATTTAGTGCCTTTGGGAGTTGCGACGACCCTTGTATTAACCTCACAATACATTGAAGCCTCCAACGATAGACACTTACAAATAACAGATACCTAATTCTGTGCCAATTTATTTTTCAAAGGTAAAAGTCTTGTAAAGAAAGCTCCAGTCAATAAACACTTCTCTTCTGGTCATAGAAGTGTCTGACCAATAGAGGTTTAACTGAACAATTGGTGGAATACAATTAAGTCTGTGATTAGGTGTTATAGTCAAGCAGACACACTTATCCAGTTAAAGGGAAACCTAAACCTAGTACACCAATAAATGTGTATGAAAAAATGATAGGTAAATTTTCAAACAGAGAAAATGAAACGAGCATTGAAAAGAAAATAAATGGCCATATCTGAATCTCCTCGGTTACTGTTTAATGTACAGAATAAAGCATAATATTTAGTCTTTCTCTTATTATGCAACAACATGAGATGAGAAAATGTATGTTTTCATACAGAAACACAAGTTTATTCCATGTATTAATAGCGCAAAATGAGTAAAATACCAAATTATTGCTGAAAATTATTCAAATTGGTATAAAATCAATCTACAACACACCATTTCCAATAAAGTTGGTTTGCAAGATCGTTTCCTTTTGACGGGTAATGGGTTCCAACGTCCTGAAAAAATAAAAAGACTAAAAATACGCCCATGAAGTATAATAAAATCACTCACTAACTTCGTAAAACACCCCATTGGCGGGTGCACGCTCTTTCTTTTACAAAAACCAGATTATTTTCGCCGTGACTCAGTGTTTTGACTATTTGGAAAACTTGAGGCTCAGATGTTTTAAATGTTGTTCTTATTTCAATAAATATTTGTCTACATTCACATACTATGATTTGCTTTCGAGACCACTAAATAACAATATTGTATGTAAATACTTGTATGATCTGTTTTTAAAACACGAGAGTCAATTTTCAAAAACACGGTGTTGTTTCTTGAATTTTTCTATCTGAGGCTTTGCATGTTCTTACGTTGCTCGTATTTTTTGGACAAATAAGAAACGTCTAATGTTCTTACAAAGTTTGTTTATAACGTGTCTTCCACATAAAAATTCACTAAAGCATTTTGTTTCTGAGAAAGTAATTAGAGAGTGGGTGACAGTACCACCAAAGCTATAAATGATTGCACCTCGGCTGAAAACTTTTTTAACGTGCTGACTTGACAGTATGTGCAGTAAAGTAGCTCAATGAATTCTGCAGAACCCGCGCTTCTACCCATGGACGATACAATAGCGATGCAAGATAACAAACTCAGGCCTAAAATAAAATTTTTCAAACTTGGCACAGCTACTGTCAAGTTGACAGTTATATGAAAATACTGTTGATGGCTGATGTTAAAGAGAATAAACTGATATTAAACCTTGTTACCAAAATTTTCTATAATTCTGAATATTTTTCACGACCTAGCTTCTGAAAGTAGTTTTCAAGACACCTAAAAGACATGCTTATTGAGGAGTGTCCTGGTTCTTCCTCGAGATGAGACCACACTTCGTGATTCATAAGCCTGGAATTACAGAGAGCTGGCGACTCCTCACACTCTGGGTGAAAGTTTGGTCATGTCAGTGACTCGAATCACAGACCTTGGATCTGTAGTCAGCGACCCTAACCACTGAGCCATCCCCACATAAATCTGAATGGAGTAAATAAATGAATTGATTTTGAAATTCTGTTTATCGATTTATCGATTCTTTTTCACCTAGTTCTTTTCCTCTGTATCTTGAGAAATCTACGTAAAATAAATCAACAGTAAGAAGATAAATGAAAATACTCTTACTCGTTGGCTTAACTGCCTTTTCCCCTGATTAATCTGACCAGACTTTTGCTCTTTCAAACAGGATGTTTGAGAATAATTTTGTAAATTTTCCTCGTGCGAGTTCCTATCATCTAAACACTGATTCTTATTCCCATGCTTTGTGATACTATCTTTACACGCTGGTCCTTCACTAAAACTGTTGCCTTTACCACAAGGAGTTTCATTTGTGTCTACCTTTTCTTCTTTTATGACGTCATCTGGCGCAATATCTGAGCAAAGACCAGGCTTTATCGTTTTTGTCTCTGAAATGAAGATAAATCAAATATATTCAGTGCTAGTGAACTCTAAGGGCCACAAATCTAGCTCTGAGGATTGTAAAAAGGAGCGTCATGCCTAAATAGCACATCCCAGGCAATGATGATTTGATACAAATTCGTGCGAAAATATTGGGTGAACCATTTCAATACGTGGAAAATATTATTTTGTAATAAAAATAGTGCTGCTCGTCATTGCCTGTGTACTTTTTAACGCTGCAACTAATAAATGGCAATGCGATCTCTTTTAAATAATCATACTAGATTTAATTTCGTCGCAGTAGCAGATTAAGGACGATCTCGGTCTCTACACGTATTATTAAAAAAATTATACCATAGAATGCACAGAGGTCCAAATGAGCAGCTTTTATCGAAATTGAGCGCCATCACTCATCAGTGCAATTGGAACATATATCAGTTAATGTACTAAGTGAAAAACCAAAGTTTATACTGATGATCTTTAATACCAATGTAAAATAAGCAAAAGAATCTCTAGCAGTTTTGGAGTCGATCTACATACAAACGAAAAAGCCGCCATTGTGTAGACAGAAGGAGTTCGTTTTCTCTCTTGGACTCCATTGGTAATTTTTCTTTAGGCTCGCGGCACTGATTGGTCAACTATACCGGTATTGTGCTTGCGTTTTTCTGAATGGCCTATTTCGATCCACAACTGGGTATATATTTTTCATCGTGTTCTTTCGGACCCTGACGTTTTATGTTCTGAGGAGTGTCAGACTAAAAAGCTTTTAGTATGTTGTAAAATGTTTGCTTTTTTCAAAGCCCTTTACAAGCCTGACTGTCAAGCAAAAGCCTTAGGAACACTCGTCAATCTTGTATTGTGCTAGAATGTTTCGTTTCCTACTATGTTCTCATGAGGGAGATGGAACAAATTTGAGCCTACTTCTTTAGAACAGTAGCAGAGATTCGAGGCTTCTTTTTAAGTTAATTTTTAATTAAGATTATTAAGTTTTTCTTATAAAAATGTGTTGTATCGTGCTGTTTTTACCATTGGTGATGTTCTTGTCATTATTATTAAAATTTGCAGCCAAAAAGGGTCTGCAGCCAAAAAAATACGGTTGTGAGTTTCTGCGGCAGTGAACAGAATGAAATTATTACCTTTGAAATCGTAAAAGTCGTTCTCATTCTCATCCTCACTTGGTGACGAATCATACATTAACTGTAAACCAGTCAATGCATTTGCTTTTGACTCTACAATGTGAGCACTCTGTTCATCCGGTTTTTTATTAGGGTTTGGTTCTGAAAGAAGAAACAGTTAATAAATTAAACAAATAAATCGAATCTTGCCTGTGCAAAGCCATTACTGTAGTTTTATTTTAATATTGTGCATTCACTGGCAACAAGGGTATCACAATTACCGGGAAAGGAACAGTAAGATCAGAAAACCTTTTTAATAACGGTGAACAAAGAGCTATGTTCAGAATATCACCAAGAAAGTCAGAAATTATTTGATTTCCAATTTAGATATCTATCTGGAAAAGTAATTAAACCCTAAGCAATAGGACACATTCATGTCACACCCAGTTGAACATTAGATTTCCAGCATTTAACAATTGTGGCTAAACTTTCTGAATGGCAAAGATAGGACAAAAAAGGACTTTCTTTCTCTTCAAATCATTTTTCTAATAACACAAGGTTTAGTCCATCAATGGGCAACCTACATGACGTGAATCGAGCTTCAGTGGCCAGCAAGATTATAAACTTATGGGATAAAAATGTTAATGCGTTGAAATTTTGTAATACTTAAAAGATTTTAGGACGCATGAAAAAATTTCAGTAACTTCTTGAATGTTGATCCATTTAGATTAGATCCAAACGACTACCCAGATGGCTTGCAACTGGATCTAACTGATGAGGCAAAACAATTTCAACTATAAAAACCAACAAATGTGGCTTTGACTAGTCGAGCTCTGCTTAGCTTAGCTAAGTTTAGCTTCTGGCTTAGTTTAGCTTAGTCCAGATAAGTTTAGTTTAGTTTAATTCACATTAGTTTATGTTTTGTTTACTTGTTTTCTTTAGTTGAGTTAAGTTTAATTCAGTTAGTTTAGTTCAGTTTAGCTTAGCTAAACTTCCTTGAGTTTTGTTTTGTTTACCCTGAGTGTCACAGTCTCTATTATTTCGTCTCAGCACAGAAATATTTTTTGCCACCACAGCCGTCTACAATACTTTATCCCAAATTTATTAGGCTCTGGCACGCAGGGTATCTTTTGTTTTGTTTTGTTTTGATTTGTTTTGTTAGTTAAATCTAATTTTGTTTAATTTTGTTTAGATTCACTAAAGTTTCATTGTAACAGCTGTGTAGTCAAAAGTGAAGTGTTTTTATCAAAAAATTTATTTTTGGATAATTGTCATGGTTTTTGATTACCTTTTAAGGAAAAGGTTTGATTACCAGCTTGAAGAAAAGGTTTGAGGGGTCTGGCACACTTCCTAAAAGACTGCCCACCCCTGGCTTTAGGCAAAAAAGTTTTCATGTAAATGAAATAAGTGGGGACATAGCACAGAAGCATTTTTTGAACTAATAAATCTGACCTGGTAATTATTTTAAAAATAGAATTTAAACACAGATTTTTGCATCTTCTGTTTTACCTTTTGAGACAGTTTCCAATGGATCTTTGCAGTTATTGTTCATTTCTTGATTTTCTTTTTTCACTTCAATTTTTTTAGGATTTTTTATATGCCACGAATCATTTCCTCGGTAGCTATAAAATATAAACAGAAAATTACATTTCATATCACAAGGATCAGTCATTGAGGGCTAAAATTCTGTATGAGTCAACTATCAAGATCAAGAAATGAATTGAAAAGTTGAGCATTTACCTGTACAATTTTGTCTCTAAAACGTGCCCCTTTCTTTTCTTTTCTTCTTCGTTTTCAATTTTTGCCTTTTGCCTAAACAAACTTGGATAGTTTCTGCAAAGAATGAAATCAAAATATTTTATCAAATTGCATTTGTCAGATAAAAATCAATCTGAAATTATTTAAATTGTTTAAGATTACAAGCCAAAATTGAGAATAAATGCATTAACAATGCGAGGCATACTTTTTTCTTTCATCCCTCCACTTCTTTATATCAGCATCACTTTGCAAGCTGATTCTAAATCTTCCTTCTTCATGATTCTGTTGGAATATGAGATGTTGTGGTGAGTTTCAAAGAATTACAGGCGGGTTGTAGGGAATTAATGATTTACCAAATGAGACAAATCTCAAAGCAAAAAGCTAGCAAAATTTCAAGCAAAGACCAAGGGTGCCAGAGCCACAGGGGCAGTGGGGACAGCTCCCCCCATTACCCTATTGGTGTGGGAGCAGCACCAGGCAACTAAGTGCCCTTTTCAAGAAATTGAATTCCAAGCAATATCAATTTATATCAATATTTTGAATGCTAATGAAGTAAAGGTTTCAAGTGTCTTTTGATACCTATATGCTGGTAAATATTTTCCTTGATGATTAGAACTAAAAATCCATTTGGAAAGCAATTTGACCAAAAAGTTCTTCTTGATTGCTTCTTTTTAACCTTCATGATCATGCTGAAAATTTTTTAGCTTGCCACTAATATTTGCTCACCCATGTTCGATACATCAGTCAAGGGATTAATGATGTCTCAATTTCAAACTAATTATAGGAACTGGAAGGCAAAGTGGGCATGTACCCCCTCCTACGTTTCAAAAATTCAGGTAAAATGCCCTTTTGCAGCTCACTGAGTTTCCTTTTTTACCAACTGCAAACCAAAAAGTGAGCTTGAATGGCTTAAATGCTATATGAAATGTTTCTATTCAATCTGCTTTTAGAAAGATCAACTCACAAACTCACAACCAGGGCCACCAAAAGGTAGTGGCGGTGGCAAATTTGACTTGGACTTTGAGGTTTAGGGGGCCCTTGAGGTCTCTAGTTTGATAAAAAAATTGGTAAAGACGTCACAAAGCTGTACAACTTTTCAAACAATTGCAAGAAAATGACTGCAAAAAATACTCTTAAATAGACTTTTCTAATGTAAAGATTACCTAATCTAAAGGGCATGGTCGCCAAAAATTTTATGCTTTCTTCGCTTGTGAAGGGCTGTGTCTTTCTAGCAAAGGGCCTCCCAAACCTTTTGCAGCACTGCTCACAACTAAGCCAGAAGTAAGAGCCTTTTTTAACCATTCTGGAATCTTTATTAGGGTGCCCCTTAAAAAGGCTTTTAAACTTTAAAGAATGTTTGTCAGGGTGTCCCTTTAAGGAGGTGCCCCCAACTTTTGATGAGGATTACCCTTTCATGCAGAATAAAATAATTTTACTTAAGAAAATGCAACAAACAAAAGAAACAAACCTGAATGAAATGGAGCTTGAGAATTTTTCTGGATGCTATGAATGTACAACCTTTAACTTCGCACTATCACAAATGAAGGAAGCTTTAGAAACTAGACTTGAAATCTGTTGGTGTCAAATAAAAGAGGGCAGCTCCAATGAATTTTTATATCTAATAAAATACTACCCTTTTGTGCTCTAACGTTATTTACAAGTTTACATGTAATGGCTGCAGGGCCACTTATGGTAAAACATCTCAAAATGTCATGATTCGATGTAGAGAGCACTTGGGAATCAACAAACATGGCCAGGGTGTTGAAACCCCTAGCCCTTCCTCCATTCACCATCATATTTCCAAAACTGGACACGTAGCCTCTGTTGAAGATTTTTCTATTCTCTCGAAAACAAACAACTCCTTTGATCTACTTATTCATGAAAGCCTCCTCATACACCGGGACAGGCCTTCGCTTAATTCCCAACAGTCCTCTATTCCTATGATTTTGTTCTGACTTTCTTTCCCGCATTGTTTTTTTTGTTTGGCCTTTATTCCTTGTTTATTTTGCTAGGTTGTTTATTCTTTGTGTCTTCTCTCGCGTCCTGATTGCTACTTCAGCGTGTTTCTTTATCAAATGATTTACAATCCCCTTCGCTTAGCTCTTTCATATTTAAGTTGATTTTTTTCTCACCCATAACTCTACTGAAGATGACTCTAGCCAGAGTCGAAACGTTTAATTCAATTTAATAGACTTGTCATAATGAAATTGCCTAAATTGGAACTTTCTTAATGTCTTAATGGATTTGTCTTAATTGGAATTGTCCACGACGTAACAAGAAGTTGAAGAATACATGATGTTTTTTTCTTCACCGTTGTACTGGTTATTAATTTAATAAAACACACTTTGCAAGCGTATTAGTTACTTGCAGATCAGGTTGTGCCCCAGATTGGTATTCCTGAATGAATAAACATTCAATCACCTCAGAAGAATGGGAAGCTGAGGTGGTTTAAGTTCAGATCATGAGCAAAATTCCCTAATCATAATCATAAAATGCCCTCGTCCACCATATCAACATCCATAAATAGTTTTGGCACTGCCAAGTATATAATCATGAAATATTTTCTACTATACCTTGACATGACCTTTCAGATGCATTGTTTTGTCAGCCAAAGTTTTGAATTCCTTTTCACATGGCTCACAGAAAAACATCATCTTCTCATCCTGTTAAAAAATAATTATTATTTTTATAATTGCAAGTACTATCACAAGGAATTTTCAAAGATCAATAACTTCGCCACCTAGACTCATAAAATACCATTAGAACCCAGTCTGCAGAGTATGGGATGTACACACCAGAGATATCTTTAATCCTAAGAGGTCTGCACACCAGTTAGGCTTTGGGTGTGGTAAACCAACTGGACAAAAAATGGGCATGGTTCTTCTGACAATGGTTAGCTCAGTAGGAAGTTAAGTACAAAATGTAAACTTTGCAACCAGGAGATGTGATAAAAAATATTCTATAATCTGTTTCACTGCGGCCTCTTAATGGTATTGTACTTATTTCTATTGCAAGTTGAGCTATGTTCACCAAATAAGACATTTTTTTAACTCTAGATGGTCATGGTAATTTCAACCTCTCAAGGACTAACACTGTGCCTGCATTTGAATGAATCAGACCAAGTGAACAGAGGGATGGCTCCACTGTTTATTCAAGAGGGGGGGGGGGCAAAAGAGAAAAGAACTCTGGGTCTTCGATGCAAGGAAAAATTTGCTGACCACACTCTATACAACATCCATTTAGATGATTTCTTCTATGTTGGTTAGTAGAACAAAGAAAGGTTCCTTTGCATTAGTGAAATGTTTTTCCCAGATTGCAAAACCGCCGGTGCACAGCGCACACCAGCAAGAATATCTGGTTGTGCACACCAGCACATCCACCATTTTGCCATTTCCACTCACTTTTCATCAAAAAGTGGTATATTCAGCAAACTGGATCGGAGCTATAAACAACTGTCTGACTGTAAAAATCTAATTTTTTGTGCTATTGGATTCCATTCTCTAAAGACTCTCGTCTCGTTAAATTGGTACTTCATAAAATTTACAACCTTGTTAATCATTTTATTCACTGCTTTGCCTGTCGCCGGCGACATCTTGTCAACACCACGACCGTACCCAGCTTTGTCTCCATGAAAATTTAATTTGTTTTGCTGAACAAAATTTGAAAATTGGGGTGGTTGTGCATTTCCTTCATATCCAGAAGGCTGCTGTGACTCATACCATTGCATACCACAATTTGGTCCTACGCCATTCATGAAACGCTGTCCAGTTGCCATTAGAAATGGAGGCCTAGGCACCTCGTGTCCATAGTGTGAGGGACCAAAAGTAAGGTCTGGGCGAAAAAAATTCGGAGGTCTCTGCCATACTTCAGGTGTGAATTTGCGTGGTGGTGGAAAGATGTAACCATTTGGTACGCCAGCCATTAAGATTTCGTTTGTTATATAGTTATTTGGTTGTCAGAAAACTTTCCACTTCAAGTAAATTCTTTCTGCTCCCACATGGCAAAGTTTATTTCGAATTGAATTGAATGTATATGAACACAGGGATACAGTAATGAATCTTTTTTCAAAATGATTTCTTCTGATGGAACACTTACAAGAGGGAACATCGAAGGATGCATTAGATACACCAGTTTGCTTTTATCGTCTGTTGTCGATACTCACTAGCTACATTTCCATTTACCAAGTAAAAAGCTCCATTGTAACACAATGAAATTTTATTACGAACAATACTTACTTAGTTACTTTTTTTAAAAGTGCAAGTCAATCCATTTTAAAAATTGAAATTCCCGTGATTAGAAAAAATACTCGCGGCAAAAGATCTTGAAGATGCTCATAAACAACTTAAGAACTGGTGTGCCGTAAAGGTTCTATAAAATCCACTCTCTGCTGGCGGCTTGTAGCAGAAATCCTACTGCACGGTATGGTTTCAGTCTCATAGAAGGCTGGAGAACAAATAAAGTCAGGAATGGTTAACTAGAACGCAAGGCATCTTGATTGAGGTTCCAACCTGTTGTAATTATTTTTTATCTAAAAACAGAAAGTACTTAAGTATAATGTTATCAAAAAATTTAAAAGCTTCACTCTTATTGCTTATATATTTATTTTGCAACCGTGATCCTGGACGCAGGATTGCGAGGGGCGCCCACGAGAAATGGACATACCGAATTAAAGCCCCGAAATGTCCCTCATCATTTTCTGCCCATTTTCTAGCTAATTGCCTAAACATACAAGGGGCTCACACAACACCCCCCCCCCCCCCCCATCTGGGTTTGAGTCTGTAACCAGGTGGTAGTGACCACTCCTTATCTCCTTTTTCTCATTTTTTCCATTTTGGATTTTACAACTTTATTCACACATTGGTTTTTTAGTTTTTACCTTATATAGCTATGATAACATTTTTAAATTTTTTAATTTTAACTACATAATCTGAAAGAACGGCATAAAATACCTCGCAATATGCAAAATCAGTTAGATATGTTTCAAATAGGGCGAGATATGGCCAATGAAAGATTTCAAGTTTGCTAACGGATTACTGTTATTCTGGCCTGGTCCATAAAGTTATGAACCAAGACCAAATTACAGAGGTTTGATGGGAAGAGAGCCTGTGCTTATGTGGCCACATCTCAGCCAATTTGTGACACACTCGACTGGTTTTGCACATTTAGAGGTGTTTTATAATGCTTTTTCAGGAAGTATGATCAAAAGCGAAAATTTCTAAAAATAGATTTTTGTGATCTCATCATTTCGGTACTATATTGACCTAATACTCAGGTTTTCTCTCCGACTGGCGAATCTGTTATAAACTGAATACTTGTTAACGACAATTTTGTTTGTTGTCACCAAAAAATTTTACATGGTAAATCTTCAGATTGTTATCATTCCCATCAAATTATTCTCCAGTTTACTTTTCCAGTATAAGCTTAGAAGGGGGCAGCTTACAACTTGGACGTCGAAAGTATTTCAAAATTGGAGAGGCACACGTAAGAACAGCACAATGTCTCAAAAAAGGGCACTTTCAAAAAATCCTGAAGATGTCACTTTTCAGAAAAAAATGTTTTACCAAAAGTTAGTTAGAGAAAACGTGGGCCCCTGGTGTATCCCAGTCCTTAACGAATTGTGATAGAGAACGATCCGATGGTTATAACAGATGTGTTTCAAAATAGATGCAGATTTAACATGAAAAGAGACTCCACAGACAGTTCGATGAAATTATTATCCATAAATTACATAAATTATTATACATTTTATTTCTGATCATCCTTGTGAACAACTATTCCTTTTTCTACCAAATCAGGAATTTCAACAGCAAGCCATGGTCCCAACTGAAACAAAAAAGTCAGTCTGAGAAGTTTTAACGAGAAAAGACATGCAGTGCCATTTTGGAAAGTACTAAACAATTGATTTTAATTTGCTTCGGATAGGTCGAAAGGGGTACCGAATAGAATAGTGAAGCAGTAATATGGTAGGGGCCAGGATGCAAAACGCCTTAACTCAATCTAATGACAGTTTTCTTGTCAATGTGGATAGAAGTTGGATCCTTTTTTACCATTGCTGATGAATCTTTATCTGCAGGAGGTGGGAAACGGAGTCCAGTTTTGCTCATTTTGTCACCCAAATTTTTTTTATTCAATAAAACATGACTTGGCCTTACTCAAGACGTATTAGTTTCAAAAACATAAAAAGCCACGCCTTCAGAGACAACACCTCCTGTCAAGTCTGTCCCTTCAAGAAACTTAAGCCACTTTCCCCTGGTACATTGGCATCTAAAATTCTTACAAGAGAGGCATTAATTGTATATGTCACAAAAAATAGACGCAGAAAGCAATTCGATATGGAGGGGAGGGGGCACTCTTAGGCAAGAAGGGATAGCCCCTAAAAGGTGGGGGCGGTTCCTACGTCTAAGTCGCAGAATAAAAACACAATTTTTTTGTCAAGCGAAACCTCTATGAAACTCTAGTAGAAACACTTCAACTTCAACAAGGACTTAAATAAAACCAATAAAAGCATGTTACTATGAACTCACCCCTAATGCCATAGCATGAGCAATTCCAAATTTTGGCACATTTCTTGCCCACAGGGGCTTGAAATGATCAGTTAGGCATATTTTTCCACCCCTTAAAGAAAAAATATTAAATGTGAATACCACGATAATGACAACATAATCTATATAACAATGCAAATACAACGATAACAATTTAAACACTATCTGACATTTTTGGGTAAATGGATAATGAGCCAAAGCCAAATTTTGTAAGCCATAGAGTGCTGTCGTAAAATATTGGCTTTGGTTAATTCATTTCAAATCCATTTTGAAAAAAATCGAGTCGCAAAGACAATAAAAGCCACAATGAGTAATTTTGGAAACATAATTTCCTTGACATATAGACTTTCCTTCTCAAGTTACCTTCTTTTCTCTTTGCAATCGTTTGATTTCAATCTTGTTTTCTATATGTACGTCCTTACGAGTAAACATCATTTTGTTAAGCCTTTTACACATTGCTCTATGATTTGGTCATGGGGCAGTCAGGTCTTCTGCACTCTCGGTATCGTCCTTGTTATGTTAGAAGGGGTTCGTTAGTAGTTATTTTCTTTAGTAATTTCATTCATGTAAGTTTTATATTTGACATAAACAAATTGTTTGTATCGCTCGCCAGCGACATCCTGTCAACACCACGACCGTACCCAGAAATTGGGCTGCTTTTCGGCATTAACAAGGGGCTCCCTAGCATTACATTTCTGTGCAAAACGATTTTATACTTTTTAATACGAGACCTGTCACTTCAGGTCGAACCCAAGTAAAAGCACAAATTTTATGCAAAATAAGATGGGGTTTTCTCCTTTCGCACTTGAAAGCTTCGGAATGGCAAGAATTTCGTTGGCTCAATTCATTTTATAATAGGAGCATTCACAGACTCCAAAAGTTTGAGCCGGATACTCAATGTAGCATGATAAGCGAATATTCATGATTCTCCGGTCTCAGTCAGATTTGAAGAAAAACAAATGGCTTTTCGTCGAGTACCAAACAAAATGCTTTCGATAAATGGCTGCACCGCCATTAAATTTCTCCCACCCTGTACCTAGGCCTTCAAACCCCCTAAGTTTTACGCCCATGATCAAGTGATTTCCCAAGGAGCCAAAATGGCTTCTTCACACATAAGAAAAATGTGTCTTCATACACAAAAAAACACTTCATTGTACGAAAAAGAAAAGGCTTTGCAAAATATTAATGATGATGATAGATTGGTGATACAAAACATTTGTATTTTCATGTTATACTAGGCAAAAGCTCGTGAAAACCACAGAAACCTATTTAATCTACAAACCTGTACATTTTCGCGGTTTTCCCGTCAAGTTCTGGAATAGCTATTTCTGGTGCTGTAGTTGGATAGGTAACGGGTATCTAGACAATAAGACAAGAAATAAAAATCAAAATTTTCGGCCAGTTTGAAAACGCGACTTAAATTAAACAAACAAATTAAATCCAAAACAAAAACTGATAACGAGGACTTACACAAAAAGAATCAAAGTGAAATTTTTGGAGTAGGTAGAATGTGGAGGTGTCGCACAAGACTTTTGGTCGTATACTTATTCCTTTAATAAGGGACTTGTACATGTTACTCAATACAGGGGCAGCTAAGCGATTAAAAAAGGTCGTTATCGTCATTGCAGTTGTAAACAACCTTCTGTCCTGAAAAAAACGAAAGATTTTCTGTGTCGCAGTGACACAACAGTTTCGTAGGAAACCAAAGGTGACAAAAAATTGAGAGTTCTTCTCGATAATTAGGTACCGAAGAGGCCCCCAAAGATTTTCAATAGACAGGCTTTTTTGCACTATTTGATGCGAAAAGAGATTAAAAAGTCAATAGTCCACCGTAAAAAAAGAAGAAAAAAATAACTTCTTGCAACTGATAAGGTTGTGTTTTATGTTATGTTTTTGTGTTTCTTAAAAGTAGCTCTTTAGCACTTGGCCTATAAGATCCTTTAAGATTCGTTTAATAACAAAATAAGCAAAGATAAAAAAGAATATTAATTACTTAGCTTCTTAAAATAAACATTGCATTTTTAGGTGTTAGGGATGATGTTAGGGAAAGGCCCAGGAACTAAAGCAAAGCCCTTGCAAGATGAAGGAGAAAGGGATTTGGAAGAATGGGAGGAAAGATTTGATTGTATTTGTATAACGAATTGTATGATTGTATAGCTTGTTGATTGTATTTGTATAACGAAGGTATAAATTCTGATAAATGTTAAATCGCACTGTAGTTAATTTTTGTACTGTCAAAAAATTGTCTACCCTTAGAATTTAAAAAATAGGTCAAGAAATACCTAATACTTATTACTTAATACACATACTTATTAGCATTCAATACTTACAAATGGAAAGAGACATTAAAATATGTTCTTACTTTCAGATAAAAAGGGTGTGGCAATCAAAACAACAATTAAAGGAAATGTGTCCAGCAAAAGCACGACTATGGCTAAAGCAAGCAACTCTGCTGGGTTTTCAGAAACGTGATTTTTCATGTGATTGCTCCAACCATTACGATCGTTCTGTTTATCTACACTGCTGCGAAGCTAGCTTTTCATGTGAGCAGTTTTGCATCGCAAGAATACCGACCAATCGCAAGCCGTTATTTTGATGGATGACTTGACAAGTTTGGTATACGCAGTCCTTTTATATGGACACATTACCTTCAAAAAAGTATGGATTGAATATGAGACAATTTATAATGAGCTCAAAATGGTCCTAAAATTTCTCAAGACTTTTCAAACTTCAGATACAAGGGCTTTGATTAAGCCGTCGTAAGACCTACACATTTTGGTTAAGCACATAATAGAAATGTAGTGTAGATGTAGACCTGCCTTGATGCAAGGTTTCGCAATCACATGACGTCAATAGGATGGGCACACTTTGCTATTGAAATAGCCACCTCAAGTGTGTTTAGTAAAATCTTTTAAGAGTATTGCAACTAAAGGTGACTAATCCTTTTAATTATCTTCACACTTTCAATTCAAGACGTTGCAGTTGTTTTAGATCGTTAAAATTTGTAATATATTTTCCTCCGTCGCACATTTTCACCTTTTACAGAATAACACAATAGATAAGTCTCAATAGACAGCGGAAAATTTGTAATCAATTTTATTGCGTGGTATCAGAATGAGCTTCCACTATGCTGGGTAGCTTTGATTCGCCGCTAATGATTTCCTCCTAAAGATAAATTAGTTTTTACCAGGTGGTCTCTAAAACAAAGACAAATTGTTCACAATTCCTCGATCAGATTGAAACTCTTCTCCCGGTAAAGGCAACCCTAGGGCAGGGCCGCTGATAAGCTTCAGAGGCCCTGGGGCAAAATCGAACATTTTTGCGACTACGCCCTTCAGATTAGCTTCAAATACATTTCAGAATTTTTCATGCAGTTACTTCTTGCAAACGTTTAAACGTTATACTATTTTTGGGCAAATTTGCTGCCTTTGATTTATTCCATTCTTAAAATGGAATTCATTACTCAATTGCCTTCCTTTTTTATAAGAACCAGTAAATTTAAGTTCAGGCTGACAGTTCTTAATTTGTTCTTAATTTAATAGGGTGTAAGCAGTGCGAGTGCTAGCTTTTTCGCTCTAAGGGGGTGTTCAGGCCTCATTTGCCAACAAAGTGAGTAAGACAGCCTTAATTTGCTGACACATTTGGATATTAACCGAAAAAGCACCCACACATCGCTAAAAATCCTCGATTTTGAGAAAAAACGTTGCTCAAAATTGCATTTTGCAGAAGCTCAGCCTCAGCTTGTTCTTAATTTGTTCTTAACTTTTGACCAGTTTTGAGGCTCGTGTTCTTACAAAATTGTTCTTTTAAATATAAGAGTGTAGGCTCCTAGACCTCGAGGCCTTGAGCAATTTGCCCACTTGCCCCCCGTTCTCGCCGGCCTTTCCCTTGGGTTGGGGCTTTCGAGGGACAAGCTTTTACTTTTAAGTAAAGTTAGTTTGGAATAATTTATATCCACTTTCTTTTATGAGATTCTAAGTTCTTCAATCTTGCCAAATAATGGATTTACGTATGTTATCAATCAATACTTCAAAATGCATACCTTATACTTCAAAATAGGGGGGTTGGGCTAGAGAGCAGCACACATTAGAAAAGCTTTGTTTTCAATAATCAACCATTTTTCTTACTGAAAATAATGGGGATAATGGGTCTTTAGCGTAGCACCTGTTAATCACAGCTCATTGGACAATCAAGCTAATTTTATATTATTTTTAGTATCACGTTCTCTATGTACTCCCCCCCCCTCCCCAATCGTCTTTATAATGTAGTTTAGTGGTTTATAAGTAATTGTTCAGGTATCCCATCGGCGCGAGATATTTAATCGAGATTTAAAAAGATTACAGCTTAATATAAAGTAATTAAAATTCTGTTGCTTGATACAGTGATGCATACAGACACAGAATTCTGTGATACAGACCGTTGCAAGCCAGGAGGGAAAAGTTCAACAACAGGACAGCTTTACTTCAAAAGATATGATTTCAGAATAAGTACTTCATGGGGATCAAAACAAAATCTTGAAAATCGAAACAATGGCTCTTCCTGTTTTAAAAGTAATTACACAGCAAAAGTCAATATATAGATAACCAATATCAGGCACAATTTGGAAACTTTGGCCTTATATTCTCGCTTTGATCAACAAAAACGAATCACACAAGACTATAAACAAAAGTATTCTGGGAGGAGTATACAGAACAATACATGTCTGCGGTGCGTCATAGGCCACAATAATCCAAAAAAGGCTCTTGCGGTCAGATTTCAATCAAAAACATCCAACCGCTCTATCGTTACTTGCTATGGAATGAAAAGGTAAATAACCTTAGCTTTACGGGGAATCAGGGGCGAAAATACCGGGGGGGTGTGGGGGGGTGTGACACCCGCCCTATCTAAAAAATAGTCGATTTCGCAGGGCAATCGAAGATTTCGCAGGGCGCCAAGAAGAGCTTTGTTGCCACGCAGAAATGTCACCTCTGAAGTTCGTAAAGGGTCGTTTAGGAATTTTGAAATGGAAATATCATATTTGTTATGAACCAACTTTTCTGATATTGCATTTTTAGAGAACGGAACAGGTATGTAAGGAAAAGCTCCGTTATTTGCAAAGCGAAAGCATTTCTTACCGAAAATCATAGCCAATGGATGCAATGATTGATGCATATGTTTATGAGGGCAAGGTTGAGTCCATATAAATTAATTTAAGTTGTAAATTATTTTCATGACAGGCACGGCGTCACTGAGGGGAATAGGGGGCTGAAAGCCCTCACTTTGGTCAGGATAAGAACTTTTTTATCATTTTTTCTATTACTTTTTAACAGTGCATGAACTAAAAAACATAATAAATCGTTAAGATACCGATTTTTTTATCTAATTACTAACTTTTTCACATATTTTTTTCTTTTTTTTCTTTTATTTGCATTAATTCAGTAAATCACTTTCTGTATCATTGCAATGCTTAATTTTGGATGGCCTTCTCGATACAAGAAACTGCACATTTCTGTTCAGGAAATAAAATTCCCCCAATCAAAACAACATTTTCCTCTGTCATTCACAACTATGTGCAGTTTGAAACGAAAGGTTACCGTTTCTTTCTTTCCACAATGTCTATCACTAGAGTTTTAGCATGACATGCCCCTCCCTATTTTTCCCAATAAACAATGATCAGTTTTTAGCACAATAGTATTTTGTTAAATTTCAGTCTGAAAGATGCTTTTTAGCCCTATTACAAGGTATAATTTCAAAAATTTTCTTCACGTCGGACCCAACCATGGTGGGTCCTCCTTTATCACTAAACGTGATTCTTAGTCCCCCCGGGCTCAATTTCGTTGCTCCGCCCATATAATGCACCAAAAAATAATATGCTACGAAGATAGAAGCTTTATTATCAAGGAAAACCAAATTTGACATATAATTTACGCTCACGTGGAGAAATAGATATTTCATAGGCAATGAAGTTTCAAGTTTGTTTTTATTGCTTAGAAGTTTTTCCTTGGTAAAGACCAGTGTACACTGGTGAAGCTTTCACTAGTAACCTATAGAGTATAGACAAACCTTTGCTACGAGGTCTGCAGGGCAAAACTCAGTTTTGCAGGGCAGAATCCCTTTTCACCCCCCCAAACCTACTGGCCAAGTTACGCCCCTGCGGGGAATGAACCTATATATCAGTGTTATCACACCAAAAATCAGGTCTGATTAGAAAAGCTAGAAAAAATCGATGATGTAACCCATGCAGTAAATTTTATTTGACAATCCTAAAGCATCTATCAAAAAAGACCTTGGAGCTTACGGTTGATTTTCCTGATTTCAAAACTGAAAAGCCAACAGACTTTGTTGATTGAACTTTTTGATGAAGACGTTTCATGTGCAGCAATTTTTCTTTTCGATTTTACACCCGATTTTACACGCGGCCTACAAATGTTGAGCGTGACAAATTTTGATTGCGGAGGGAGCAGCCCTGATAAATGAGGGAAACAGAACCCTTTTTAATAACATCAAAGTATTTTACTCGTGCTACATACATACTTTTAGCAGGGTACGAGAGTACGGGTTCAAAAATTGGTGACGAGAGTACGCTGTATACAACAATTTCAGATCCATTTTCAGAATAAACAACACAACTTTGAGGTAATCCTTGGAGCAAATTAATCTATCGGTCTCAGAAACTTTGTCCCCTGATTCTCATTCTTCAAAAGGGGCGCACAATTTCCAAAAAAGGGGCGCCAGACTTGCTTCAACCTGTCGAGGGAGGGGCAACTGCCCCTAGTTGCCCCCCCCCCCCTTAAATCCGCCACTGCATTGAGATTCTTGCAATCCGATGAGAAAACGTCGGGGGGGGGGGGGACGTTATCTAGATCGTCAGAAGCTGATTTTGGTGTGAAGCCATTAGTAGACTGAGGCAAGAGACCAAGCATTATTTGTCTACAATTCCAAAAAATCTTCTTTTAATAAGCAGCAAGAGGGATATTTCTAACAGAATTTCCAATCAAATCGAGGAAGCTGATCTTCTAGTCCATTATATTAAACAACTAAAAAATTTGGTCTATCGATTAGACATGGTATCCATACAAAAACGATTATGAACTATTTGTACTTTGAACAGATCGTTGTGTTAGATTTTGCAACAGCGTCGCTTTTGAAAGTTATTACTAGTAGCACTTTTTAATAGGTCTTTTCGTGATTTCTACACACGTAAAATTTCTAAATTCAAAAGTCTGAAATTAAGTTTTAGGCAATAGCGTTCATTGCCAGCGGTAAATTGAATGACATTTCTTGGTAGAAAAGAGATGTTTTCTACGGGAGAAAATGTTTCCCGCGGGAAAAAAGGGCTTGGTCTAAAAGGGTGTGGTTCAAAAAGGGCGTCTCCCAAAAGGTATGTGATCCTGCTTTCTTTTTGCCCCCCCCCCCACTTATATTGGGCTGGAGTCACCACTGGGGACACTCCCGTTATTCAGTCCTTTGCGTCTTGTTCTCTTACAAACTCGAGGGCAGTTTGATAGCACAGAGCAAAAATGCTTGCCACCGTTGGGACTGCATAGAATACTTTAGTTTGAGAGGTAGCATAGAGAAGCAAGAGATGAATAAGTGCCTTTTAAGCCTTAATTCAATACCATAAATGTAAGTAGATAATTTTTTCTATCTGACTCCATAAAAATGAAGTAGCAGTAACTGGCATAGAATGTTAAGACCTTCCAGAGAAGGCAGATCACGTCAGCATGTTCAGCTTGATACCTTCAAAAGTATAAGTTTGGTACTCATTACAGTATGTTTATCAAGACAGCTGGTTTTGCCATTTATGACTTTCTCTAGTAAAAGAGAATGAAACCAAGGCCAACATTATACTTGATTTTGCATGATTGTTTCTATGGGCAAAAAAGCATTTATCTTGAAGGTATGCAATAGACTAGCAAAAGGAGATAGAATGTTTTCTGCATAAAATTCTGCGATTGTGCACCAACACGACAAGCACCTAGACAAGACAATGAGCACATTTGGTCAAGCACCTGCTTCTCAAAAAGTAGCGATATTGCGCACCTCATCCATTTGAATTTAAGATTACTTTTTTATCAGAAACATTACTTTTTATCAGAAACAAAACTTGTAAGTTTTTTAAGCATTCATCATTTAGGGAATTGCAACACATGATATGCATGTTAAGCACTGGAAACCTGTTTGTGCTGGTTGTGTATGAAAGAACCACTCTGACCACAACGCTTAAAAAACAAGCAGAAAAGCTGTAACATCGATAGTACTGATATTACCACTATTCAGTGCAATTTGAACCAGAAGTTGTGAATCACGCTCCTTGATAAAAACATTGCTTCAAAATGCGCCATCAGCCACACCCCCCCCCCTGATTTTCATAAAGAATCTGATAAAAAGCGAAAAAGCCTGACTAGTACTCACATCAAATTCTATAGCAAACTCATACTTCAGTAGGTTACTCATATACCAGCATTTGCCCCACCATCTGAAAAAAGGATTTGTGAGAAACTATAAAAAATTTGCTTGTTTGTTTATTCTTCTGTCTTGAAGGAAGAAGTTCAAACATGGTTTTCAGAGAGCAAACAAAAATTGCATGTAAATCCATAAGTTAGGCACTTATCAACATCAACAGCATTAAGCACTACTACATATTATTATACAAGATATGTAAAGATTTGAAATCCTATACAGAATTTACAATAGCACTATTATAAAAATGTCTGTTTGTAAACCACGAGACTAGAAAAAGGAGGTTTGCATACTGAAAATGTCCCTGAAATGGCTATGCATATGCCAGATTTGCCATACTCTGCAGATTCGGTCACAAAATAGTTCTGAAAAGTTTACTATTGGAAAAAATTGTCAAGTCTCCATAGCTGCTGAAATTCTAAGAATTCTATTGAGTATATAACTTTGCAAAAACATTGTCATAGTGAAAGGTGACATAATTGAATGTTTGGCTAGAAAGGAAATTAGTGATGAAGGTTTTATGAGCATACATCAGAACCTTGGGTAAGCGTAAAAAATACTTCTGTTGGCCTGTCATAGAAAGATATGAGAACTACAGCAATAGGACTGTAACATTAAACAAATATAAACTACATAATTGAGTATGGCCATGGAAAGTAGATGGAAAAGTCCTCATCTGTTAGTTCAGGCAATGATCAAAAAAGAAAACTTTATGTCATCAATTTTACATATATTCTAAAATTATTCATACCTTGTAAACAATTTTTTATTAGGAAAATTTTGCAAAACTTCATAGTTGGTTTCTTAGTATCATTTAGAATGTTTCTCAGTTGTTGCCAAAAAATAGAATGCTTCTTGGTTGTTGCTTCTTGGTGTGTTTCATGATGGATGTTGTAAATAGGCAACTGCTAACTTCCCAGTTTGCAAGTAGAATTTTATTGTTTAACCTCATCAAAGTTTGTTTGGCACTGTTTGATTAATAATTTTACTTTTTGGTTTGATGACAGAATTTGTTTGGCAGAAAATATGCTTGATAAAAAATTTGGTCAGGGGAATTTTTACTAGAACTGATGATGAAAGGTTGAATACTCAACCCATGTTGCATCACTGAATTGTTACAATTAGGTAACGGTTTGACCAATGTAGATTTTGACAATAGCGAATTACCATAGCACTGCTTACCTGGTTCCTTCTTTGTTTGATTCTAATCGGAACCAGTCATTATCTTGTTCTTTGTTATTACTCACATACTAGAACAAGGATTAAAACATGATCATTTAGTCTAAACCTCAATTACGAGAGACTTCTAAAGATAAATTCTTGATCACCGAAATGTATTGCTCTTAAGTGTCCCAAACTTCTAAAGCTTCGAAAACTTGTAGAATTATGACTACAGATTACTATGGCAGTTAAGTCTTTCAAGCAAAGGTGTAGTGCTTGGAATTAATTTTAACAGGCAGTAGGAAGAATGTTTTTGTTTGGTAGAAAGTTATCCGTAGAAAGTTTGAAATGAACAATTGGTGGATCCTCAAACGAGCGTTTAACAGCGAGAGAGGTTTCCTGGCTACGTTTACTAGTTTGATTTTCACATCGTGTACTTCGACATGTAGATATTTGTCGGCGTAACAATGTAAATCTGATTACATAGAAATTGCAGCGTAAATGCAAATTTACAGAGACATTGCAATGTGACTGGCGTACATTTCTCGTTTCATGCTGTAGAGCAGAACTTAACTTACCTTGATCAAGGATTGATATTCTTCCTTTAGCCTTGTTACCCAAGCATCTCCGTCCCTAGGCCCAGCTTTTGTCCGCAACAACGGAATTGCTGCTAAAGTTTTCTTTGTAGCTTCGTCGACCATTTTTTTCCTTGCTGTCCAAAGTTAAGGAGACACGTTTAGTTAAGGTGGTAGAGTTATAAATAATGACAAGTGCCAAAGTTGCATCAATTTTCCGCCATTTGCTATCTCGGTTCTTTGATAAAACGATTCTTATGAGTAATAGTTACCAAATAATTTTACTTGATTACATCAGACAGAATGTGGTGACAAACGTGCATCGTCTCATGCCCTGGCAACGATCCAGAGTTTCCTAGATTTGCAAAACAGTCAAATCTTAAACCCCTGGGTGGTGGGTGTCTATAGAAAACAGGAAAGCGCTTTGCTATCAATTTAACGTTTAAAAGCACAAGATTTATTATCATCTGATTGCTTTATCAGGTTTTTGAGCATACAAAAGCTGTAGCGTAGGAGACAGTACTGTTCGTGCCACAAAGACACAACACGGATATCATCCAATCCATGCCTAGGCATTAAATAGACTAATAAAGTAAATACTTATCCCCAAACAACTATATATCAAGTTTTCACATTTGATCCACGCTTTCATCAGTTTGGTTAAATGTCCAGGTAAATGACTCCTCTTATCTTTTTACGCAAATCTAAAAACACAATCCTAGCACAGAACTTGCGAGACGGATGAGTACTGAAGCAATTATGGCAACATTGAAATTGGTATCCCTTGAAGACAACTTTTTGAATAAATTTGTTTAAGTCACTCATTAAAAATGTGTTCTTCACTTTTCGAATTGTGTGCCCTGCAGCAACAATGCTGAACACCAAGTAGTTAGTTTGGGATTTGAAATGAAAATGTTATGATCCTCGTCAGCTGATAAGTACTACAAACTTCTTGAATGTCTAACCTTGACAATATCCATCAAAATTGGACTGTTTTCTAATATTCCTCGTCCCTTTTGTTTTACCAACAGGCAAGAGTTTTAAATAAAAACAAGCAAATAACAACTTAAAAATTTCTGTTCTCAACAATGAACCCTTCCCACCCCATACAATTATACAATATATGCAAAGATCTCGTACAATCTCTAGTCAATACTTTCTCTAAAAATGTTCTTAGTCTCCACTGTTTCCTGTACAAATTCGGTATTTATACAGCATATACAATTTGCGTTGTGTGAAATTAAAATTCAAAACTTCTAATATAAATATACACAAAATTTAACAAGCACCTATAATTTGACACAAAATTTCTTAAAATGCTTTGCAAAGCAATAAGCGAAGTAAAGTTTCTCGTTTTAACAAGTGTCTGCTCTCTGAAAGTCATAAAAATATGCATAGGCATCCATTTACTTAGGCTGATGTGACATAAAAAAACGGGTTAGGGTTGTGTTTCATAACATAGGGGATGTTTTGCTTTGTCGAACAATTATTGATTTGCAGCTGACACAACCTAGGGCAGTAGGAAATTTTCAACCAAACAAGAGATCATCAATTCAAAACATTGGCCTGGCCAAAAATGAAAAAGCGGAATTTGAGCAAAATGGAAACCCAAACAGAACTATAAAATGTATTCAAAATGCAAACTTAGCAAAGTTTGTACTTAAAACAGCACCTATTTCATTCTCTTCTTAGCGCTTCTTAATAAGCTTCTTGAGCAACATTTCGAAATTCAAATCCCCGACTTTGCATCTTCTTGGCCTGTTGCGGCTGCTCGTCCTCGCGATGCCAGTGAAAGCGATTATAAATGCCCTGATCTGGGTTGACTTGAAAGTATGAATAGAACCCTTGATTGGATTGATGGTCCCGTCTTTGCTGATCAGTCTGCCATGTTTTAGTCCAGGTGGAAGAAAAATCTTGATTCGCTTGAGACGCTGGTACGAAACTCGGGGCCGACGTGTTCAGTTTGCTGTTCAAAACAACATCGCTGCCACTGTTTGGACGCTGGCCAGCAGCTTTGTTGTGCGTCGTATATCTAGGTACCTTCGCTGCCTGACGGTTACTTGCTTGAGGTTTGTTAGGGTTGTACCTTTTAAATATTGGACATATTGCTCTTCTCCCCATCCGATACGAAACATCGTAAGGGTCGACCCACAAAGCTAGGCCGTCAGGGAACGTCGCTTTCAACTCATCGATACTGATGAAGCTTTCAACAGCAGCATCCTTTAGCATAGGGTCTAAGACACATTCTACATGATTTATGTTTATACATCTATATGCGTTGCCTTTGAGTGGCTTTTCGGGGTGCCAATGATTCTGAAATCTTTGCAACATGAGCTCTTCGAGATTTGTTTTGAAACGTTCACACTGTTCATTGTTAAGGCGATAGTTTTCTTTAAGTTTTCCGCAAATAAACTGCGCTGCTGAAGTTACTTCGTCTTTCATACTTGGACTGTTTGAGATAACTTCACAAATTTTTTCTTTCACTTTATGTCAAGTATCTGGTTTTTCGCGATTGACTTTCTCCAGAACCTTCTATATGATCTTGCTCAAGTGACTCACAGTGCGAGGAATCACGATTTATAGAATTTCTTGTCGACGAAACCAATTCCTCTGTCTCTATTTTTAGTTACGCATATCAAATATTCCACCAATCAGACACTTTCATATCAACATAAATTATCTTATCAACCAATCATAGCCATTCGAAGCTTATTGTATCCATAACAACTAATAGGACTCCCCCAATGCTCAAATTTGTCTCGACAAGCCCGAATCCATTCATCACATTTGGGATAGGGCATTGAGAGAAGCCAATCAAATCGAAGGATTTTGATTGACATTCGCTTGCTAGCCAATAATATTGCTGTGACGCACGAAAAAGTAAACATTAAGCTACAATGGAACAATAGTGTTTTAATACGCATGTGGTTCAATTCATTTCGGTTTGCAAACAATAGGCTCTGTTGTGAACCTTTTGGATTGATGTCAGCTGGTCATTCCTGCGGGATTCTTACGTCATTCGCTTTCGCATGTATCAAGGGACGTTTACCTTCTCCCTTTGTTGCTTCAAATGACCAAATGTGGGAAGATGATCACAAGAAAAACAATGGAAGGAATAATAACAATTCATGTATGTGTGAACCTGATTCTTCTACCGACAAACTGTGCGTGTTGGTTGACTCGAGAAGCGACGTTTTTGAGCTATAAACAAGCAGGCCAAAGCCGCTGATACTCAACTTTGTGGCATCAGTCAATGATAATAATGGTGGCAAGCCAACATAAGTTTACCACTCTGTTTAGAGCCCCACAGACCAAAATTTGCTCCGGCGCCCCTGATAAAAACACAAGTAGTAAAACATTTGTTCATGTCGAAAATCATTCAGTGTAATCAGTAAACATATTGTCATCATATAAATTTCTAGCTGAGTTAGTCCGACCTCTACACCAACACCAAATTCACTCTTTTTAATAAAAACACGAGCCTCAAAATTGGTGAAAAGTTAAGAACAAATTAGGAACAAGCTGAGGCTGAGCTTCTACAACATTTTTTCTCAAAATCGAAGATTTTTAGCCATGTGTGGATGCTTTTTCGGTAAATATTCAAACCTGTCGGCAAATGAAGGTTGTCTCACTCACTTTGTTGGCAAATGAGGCCTGTACACCACCCTAGAGCGAAAAAGCTAGCACTCGCACTGCTTACACCCTATTAAATTAAGAACAAATTAAGAACAATCCAGCCTCGAAAAAATTAAGAACAGTCAGCTTGAACTTGAATTTACTGGTTCTTATAAAAAAAACAGTGTATTATACTGTTTTTTATTTTGGTAAGTTTACAAGACATAGTTTATAGACAAAGCCACCCAACCTGGCAGTCATTCATCACCCTGAAGTCCTTTTCTTTTTCTTGATTAAGAAGCCGATGCCATTTAATAATTTCACCAAAAAACCCAGTGAATATAAAGAAACATTGTATAATTCGGTCCATGCTAGGTCTTTTAATATAAAATACGTGTATGTCAAAGATAATTTGTTACTAAATTTTACTTCTTTCATACCGGTCAAGTCTTCCTTTTCATGTTTGTTTTAAGCAATATGAAATATTTCTGACGCGCCATCCGGATTAATTCGTATATTTCGAATCAATGTTGAAAATTGAAACTGAAAGACGATCATAATTTTGCAAAAAAATAGATTGAAGCTATAATTTGTGATGGATCCTCCAGTGAATTTTTGTAAACTGTATTCATACTGAGTCGCACTTTGTTATGTACACGAAGCATTCATTCTGAATTTGTATTGAAACAAATAAATAACAAATGGCAAAGATATGGTTTTCTTACGTTTAATAGCCCCCCAAGTCTTATGGCAAGGCGTTTTTCCTACTACCTCGTAATCACAATCGGTTGCAATGAGAACGAGACCAACTTTTATTTCCATGTTGTTAACGCTTGTTGTCATGTCCTAACCTTGATGGCGTTGGATTGAGATGTCAAATTCAACCGACAATAAGGTTTGTATTTAAGTGATTTTTGAGGAAATGTATTGTTAAATTGTTCGTTCTTGTACTAGATTTTGCTTTAATCTATAATAAGAAAACGATTCTTCCTTGAATACCTAAAATAAAAGTCACGACTGACTCGAAACCAAAATTGCACACCAAATTTTCTATAGCCCTATTAAAAATAGAAAAAAACGTTTTGCACGCTATATGAACGGTTAAGGAGATTTGCAAATGGAAATCGAGACTAAAATGACTGCATGCACAAGTTCTCACCCAAAACTTTCATGGTTTTTAGACTAGTTTCTGAGGCTTAAGCAAACGAAAGTAGTTACAGATTTGCACTGTTTTCTGAAGAGAAATATGTTTATAATGATTGTTCATAATTATTTTAGTCAGATTTTCGGCTATGTTAAAGGGAACCCCCTTTGTAGAATGTAAAGCAAAGGACTTTCCACTTGAATTTGTTCCTATGTTTTTGTAGGTGTTGCAAGGCAAACAACTTTTCCAAAGTATGTTATTTGAATGACATCCTAAAAATCAGTTATTCAGAATGCTAATACCCTCTTGAAAAGCTTTATCTTTTAATGTAAAACCCATTTCTTCAATTATTTTTACCAAATTACCAAAAGTTCTTATAAACTGTCTTGTAGACAAGGCTGGTAAATAATCAATTGTATGATGAGACTTTGTCAGTTCATGATGATGAAGAAATAGCAAGTACATTCACTCCAAGCCCACGCCCTGCAAGGATCAAAGGACCAAATCAAAACAGTAAAACATTTAAATAATTTTTCCTTTAAAATTGAGTTTCTTCATTTCTTGAGGTTTTACTTGGAAAAATGTAATAAAAAGTTTTCTCATGACCAGCTTCATTTGAAGTCCTCATTTCATAGAAAGAGAAGAACATAGAAGTAAACTTTAAATTTGGTTTTTGAAATTATTAAATGTTACTTGGATGACAGAGTTGAGTGGATTATATTTATTTGGTCAGAAGCATTTAAGGCTTTTCTTTCGAAATAGTCATGGTTCAAATCTGTTTCATATTCAATCAGTTACTGAATAGCAATTGAATAAAAAGTATCTGCTTTTAGGATTTATTGTATCATTGTTGTCTGCTAATAGTTTGTTGTGACTTTTTTGATATTTTTTAAGGTACTGAAATGGGAGATTTAGTAAGTGATGATGAATTTGACCATGATAATCTGGTAGAAACAAGTGCGCCACAAAAAGTAAGTATTTCATTTTGTGAATTTTTTAGCTTGGAAAACTGTTCAATAATTTGTGCCATACAGTCCTGAATGTTCAGGATGTTTTAAACCATATTGAGGAATTTCTGTGCATTTTAATGCAAAAATTAAAAAGAGTGATGCCTCAAAAGGGTGAACCATTTAAACTAAAACAGATGATAAATTGTTTTATATATCCAGCAGCCATCAAAGAGAGGACAACCTATAATGGCTCAAAAAGAAAAACCTGCAGTGGTCAAGGCACAAGGGGAAGGAATTCCAAGTGGCAGAACAATTCAAGCAAGTGATGATGATGACGATGAAGAAGATGACGATGAAAATCAGAGTGATTCTAGTGATGAAGAAGAAGATGACGAGGAAGACGAAGTAGCGAAAGGAGCTCTTGAAGGGTATGTTTTTTAAAATTCATTTTAAATCTTTATATATCATTGAGACTCTCATACTTCAAGAACACAGAGCAAAAATTCACACAGTTCAATGTTATGAAGCTGTTCATGTAGTTATTCACTTTTATTCTAGAGCTTATGACCCTGCAGAATATGAACACCTGCCAGTCAGCCAAGAAATTAAAGACTTGTTTCAATTTATAACAAGGTAAAAGTTTTTGTCATTTGATATTTCTTATATTTTTCTGATATCTCTACATCTTTCAATTAGATTTATTATCTGTTGCTGTCAGATAAATGTTGCTGCAAATTTTGCAAAAAGCTCTGACTGCAAAGTTTAAGATTCATCCTCATTTGCAGCAAAGCTGTCTTGGTGCAAATTTTCTAAAAATGAGCAATATTTTCACAACTAAATAACCAATTAACTAATTTTCTTTCATTCTGACATAAATTTTCAATTCATCTCTATATTGTATATTTTTAGCTTATTGAAAAGCCTATTTAAATTATATTTGCATGTTTGCTTTAGAAAAATTAATAAGACAGTTCTCTATTTCCTCATGTGACAAACTGCTACTTGCTATAAAATTATTTTTTATCAAGTCTCATAAAAATTTTCAGGCTGTAAATTTTATGCTTGACTTCAATTGTAGGTATACACCACAAAATATTGAATTGGAGCACAAGCTGAGGCCATTTATTCCTGATTATATACCTTCAGTTGGTGATATTGATGCATTTCTTAAGGTAATAAAAAAATTTGCACTTTCGTTGACATGCAGTAAATGACTGTGACATAAGGTCACAGATGCAAGTCTATTTTTGTCCGTTCATTTAAAGTAGTACCACCATGGTTACTCCAAGGTGCTATTGTCCTGCCTAAAGGTTTGTTGTTCCATCTTTAAGTTGCTTATTGATTCTGTCAGGATGTATCCAGGAATTTATGATATGTGATATCTGTGATGTAATAATCAAAAATAAATATCATGTTTAAACTAAAAATAAATTGAAAAAAATTGAAACAAACTTTTTATATCAGTGGCAACATTTGGCAAATCTTTTTTTCAACAACTTTCTGTCATTAAATTTTAAACTTTTAAAAATGTCACAGTTAATGTTAGATTGTCCGTAATGGTATAAAAACATGCATGTCTATAAGAGATAGATAAATATCTTTATTTCAAGTTTATTTATAAAATATTTATTTAGTCTATATGTACATTGCTGTTTAGTATATACATATAAATGGTTCAGCAATTTTGGAAGCTTGAAAACCCAATTTTGTTCCTAGGTGACTCGTCCTGAAAATAAAGTAGAAGTTCTTGGTTTGCAAGTTTTAGATGAACCATGTGCAAAACAGTCTGACCCAACAGGTTTTTAAAATTAACTGTTATGTTTACAGCAGGAGTAACAAACTTAAGGCCTGCAGACCATATTCAGTCCTCAATGCTTCCCAATTTGGACTTGGAATTATTTCAAAATCTCGGTTTCAACAGTCTCTTCCTTTTCAAAACTCACTAATTTCATATACTTTTGGCATTTATTCTCATTTTATATTAGAATATTCACAGTAGTCTTACTGTATGAGTTCAAATCTCTTCTTTAAAAGTATAGTTATTTGGTTTGTACAAGAAACTGCCATTCTGCTTGGCCAAGAACTAAGGAACATTTTACGTTTAGGCCCTTTTTGGGGTTGATTTGGACAATTTTAGATATTTTAATGCTGTATAGTTTTGGAAGTAATTTTTATCGTTGAAAAAAGAAAAGTTTCTGTCTCATATTGCTACTACATAATTTGATATTTCATTAAAGTTTAGCTATCTGTCTGGTAGTTAATGTTGATTTTCCTTAGCAACACTAGATATTCATTTAGCAACACATAGCTTATTCGTTTAATCATTTATTAGTTGAACTTCTGCATAAATGAGATTCTACTTATTACTAGCATGCAGTGTAGAGACTGCTAAACTTAGCTAATATTGAAAATGAATGTGTATCTTTTGTAGTGTTAGATTTACAGCTGCGATCAATATCAAAGCAAACCACAGCTAAACAAATGGTAAGTTAAGTTTCAAGAAACAAACAAAAATATTGAAAGCCGAGGAACATTGCTTATTATATTATTTAATGTTGATAAGTGAATATTTTTATGAAAATACTAGTTGATGACTGAATTACAGATTAATGAAACATTGTAAATTAAAAAGTTTAGAAGTTTGAAAGTACAGAAGAATCTCCTTCTAAAGGGCACATAAACGACAAACGAAAATTTGCCAAGCCTTATTGCTGCTCTTAAGTTCTACCTCCTTTCAGATTACTGCTACTGCTAAATACTTTTTGTCAAGGATGTACACAGGTCTATTATTCTTTCATCGTCTTCTCTTAACCTTGCATTAAATTTGTTATAGAAATATTCCTGTCTGTCAGTTAATGTGGGAAGGGGATTTGTAATTTTTTTCTTTCAAATGCAATTATCGACATAGTAATAAAAGGGTTCAGCAATGCGATCTTCTATGTGACGATCCATTCAGACATCGATGTGATCAGCAATTCGATCACGAGTGATGGCATGGAGTAGAAAGTCATAGGAACAACTTGGATCAACACTTGATTGCAAACTGGTGCATAGAATATTTATAACCATTTATTGTTATGGATTATTTGAACATATTCGTCTCGGTTAGGTTGTAAGAAGCATTGATGATGCTGAGAAAAATCCAAAAGCTGTCGATACCTGGATTGAAAGCATTTCTGACTTGCACAAACAGAAACCAGCACAAAATGTTCACTATTCGAAAACAATGCCAGACGTAGAAGGGTTGATGCAAGAGTGGCCACATGACTTCGAGGAAATGCTTAAAACAGTAAGAACCCTATATTTGATATTTTAGTTGACAGTTGACACAATCTTGAACAAAAATGATGCACAAGCACAAAGGTTCTGCAAGCATAGCCGTTGTTTATTGATCTGGTTTGATGTTTCAATCAGTGGTTTCTTTTATATATTCACTCCAAAGTTATTTAAAGGGTATTTGTTCAAAAGCAACAAATAGGGTATGTCAAGATACAACAAAATTCAAGATAAAGACGAGCTGACTAATTTGCCTGAAATTGCTTTAATTCGTCATAAATTGCCTTGAAAAAGGAACAGACACGAAACCTACAGTAATAAGTGAAGTCCCAGGAAACTATCAACTTAACATTTGTATGCGTTTTGTTTACTAGGTAGGGCTACCAACTGCTGAGCTAGAGTGTGACCTTCAACAGTACATTGATATTGTTTGTGGTAAGTTTGGGCTTTCCTCTAATCGATATTAAATTTATGAATTCATAGAAAACATTTTCGTTAGACGATTGCTAGTGAAGGGAAAGCGAAACGTCTGAACGAAAGCAAAAGCGTTTTTTTTTTAGTTTAGTGAAGTAAGTTTATATTTCGTTTACTAAATTTAAACATTTAGTTATATTTTTATTTCATTTATTATTTTTATGTTTAAATAATGTATATCAAGCCTTTCTTGGCTAAAATTTATATGTTTTAATAAAATTTATCAATTATAGCTCTTTATAAATGTTTTTTTTCTGTCATTTTAATTTTTGTCTTTCCGTTGTAGCATTTTTGCTAAGTTTGCGCTGATGTTAAGGTGTGAAAAATGCAATAAAGTTATATACAAGCAAGATTTTTTAAATTGTTTTTTTATCTTAAGCAGCATAGAGGACATGTAATCTTTTAATTGCTCTGCGAGCGATCAAGAAGCGTAGGCGAATACGTAGGTGGAGCCAGCCAGCTATAATGCCCATGTTTGGAAGTACAGCTGTTTACTGTCTCGATGTAGGTCAATTAATAATATATGCGTTTACTGAGCACGCGGGACATACTTTCTTGTTCAAATTTTAGGTATGCGCAGTCGATTTTAGAATTGACACAGTTGAAGGTGTTGACTCTTTAGCTTGAAAAGAAGCTAATCAGGATTGTACGAAGCTATAATTCTCTGTTTGTAAGCAGGCCACTAGGTTTAGCAGTTTGTAGAAAAATCTATTTAGTATGATACGAGCAGGTTCTTCATAAGGATTGCATCTGTCGCTCCTTTTACGTCAATAGCACTCATACTTTTTTCCATCCTTTTCCTTTCTCCTGAAATTTGTATAACCCTTCGTAGACTATTTTGCAATATCATCTGATCGCTTTATTTTTAATCGAGAAGAGAAAATTTCATTCAGTTTATCCCCTCGCAGCGTTTAAAAAGCAACAACTTTGATGGTCCAAGCTTGATCATCTATTGTTACTCTACTGTGCCCCCTGTTTTCCCTCTTGTCACCTTCCCTTCATTAAATCGAAACTTCATAAGGCCTTATTTTTGGCTTCTCCTCAATGATCCATTGTTTATCTTTTCGTTTCGTTATCGTTTTGTGGTAGTGATTTGTGCTTAAATGTTTGAGAAATGATAATAGATCTTTCTTACAACCAAATTGCAGGAATCTTGGACATACCTGTTCATAAAAGTCGAGTGCAGTCGCTTCACGTTCTTTTCACTCTCTACTCAGAATTCAAAAATTCACAGGTAATAAAGCTATAATCTGCAGATGTTGTTTTTTGCTGCCACCTTTCATCAGCTCTCTTTTGTAGACCAACATGAACTTTGGCAAAATGTTAACTGCCGGGTGACGACCAGAAACCATTTCTAAGCAAAGATTTAAAAAATGCAAAGTATATAAAATAAAATGAGATGTAAATGATCACAGGCAGACGACAATCTGAGTAAAACTGCTTAGTTTTATGATAGCCACTTCTCTGTCTCCGAAACTCTAAAGTGAACAATCTTGTTGCTAAACCCAAGACGATCTTTTTCTCATTAAAACATATTTATAGCAAGTTGAATAAACATACCTTGTATTTAGCTTGTTCAACTTTGCTTCTTCACGTCCTGGTTAGCCAAAGAGAATGTCAAGTCACTGCACTTTTTCATACCAACTTGTGAAAATCTGTTTCTCATTTCACGTTTTTTGTTGTAGCACTTCAATCAACTGGCACGAGATAACCTGTTGTCAAATAAACTGAAAGGGAACAGAGGAGCAGCCAATGAAAGTGAAGATTTCCAGTCTATGACATTTGAGTAGCAAAACTAATGTAAAAATATCGATTGTTAGCATATATTTATTAACCATGTACAATAGTTGGCCGTATTGCCTTAATTTTGCACTTGCTCCATCTTGATCCCAAGTGTAGCACAAGAAAATTCCTGACGAAGAGGTCAACCCCTATAGATTATAAAATTGAGTTTAATACCGATAAAACCAGCTTTCCTTGGCTTCGACAAGTCATTTTTAGACTTTACCAAGTGAACATCTTTGTCTTAGGGACAATGTACTATTGAAAATTTTTCATACCTCTTGTGAAATGGAGTCCCAAATTTTTATAAAGCAACCAAGTTTTAAAGTCCCTATAAATTGTGTGAGCAAGTTGGGAAAAAGGGTTTCTTAAGCTTTTTGCTTCCTTCTGACCTAATTACTTGCCGTAATAGTGAATGCAAACCACTAATTTACTTCCAGAAGCACGCAAAAGAACTCTTGAAAGCAACCTATCCTTTGGAAGTGTAGACAGGAAAAGATGAGGGATCCACGCCTGTTCTCATAATGTTTTGCTTTTGTGAACAGAAATATGAATGTGTTAAATACAGCTTTATAGAAGTGGAATGTCGTCAATAGAAAGGTCGGGAAAGAAGTATTCCAAAAAAGTTTAGTTTGAGAAAATTCTTGCAGAAAAAACGATTCTCAGAACAACACTTACTGAAAAAATATGTCGAAGGGTATGCAATTGCGCTTAAGAGCTCTTCCTATTTTTTGGATAAAGTAGATTTTAAAGAACCGTTTTGGAAGGCCATAATCCTAGGCACTTGTGGTTTTCACACCTTTTTAAGTGTCGCTGTTCGTAGTCTTAAATCCTTGTTTCCACAGTGTACGGTAAGGATAAAATCTTTCCTCGTCAGGGAATGCTCTAACAACATCGTTGTTTTGCGAATTGGATTATAATTCCAGGTTTCCTCTTAGAAGTGTGGAAACCGCTTTTTTGGAAAAAATCATCCTCGTGCATTGAATATTCTCGTGCTTTCTTTCATTAAACTCGGAATAATTCTTCCTAAGTTGCTAATAACCGTGTTTTTTGTGCAAAACAGAAACTTTGCTTAACAGAAAAGAGACTTAAATGATTATCAGCCGTGCCATTTTAGATGGAAGGAATTCTCCATTTCCGGCATGATTATACGTTAAGAAACAGAAGCAACATGAAGACGACACGCATTAGAATGAATTTAAAGGCAGGATAAACAGGAAGATGACCTTCCACGGGGGATGACGGTTGGGCTAGCATACTTTAGTCAGAGGGCTTCGTTATCCAAACCTTCTAATGGTGCCATCTCTGTATAAAGCAATGAAGTAAAAATTTTCTGCAAACAAAAACGTAGACAAACTTGCAGGTGATTGATACGTTCCAAACAAACTGATAATTGGTTTAATCTTCGAGCACCCAATATAATGAGCAGTAAAGTATAATAATTGTATGTAATGAAAAAATAACCCTGTATTATTTAAAAATGTACAAAAGAAAGTCATCAAAACGTTTTAGATTCTAAGGAACTGAGATTCTTTCTAATTGCCTGATGATAATCTTCGTTATTAAACATTACTTCGTAATTACTGAAATATAAAATTCTATCAAAATTAGGGTAAAATTAAAAATTTGGCATATAAGTTTTATGAATATGTTTTTGAAGAATAAATACGCTCAAATTTCAGCTTACTAAAAGCGATTGCTAAATATTTAGATGACGTTATTTTATGAACTAGACTGTTCAGTAATAAAAATTCTAATTCTACAAAGCTATGATAAAAATAAATTTTCAATAATGGGGCTATTGTTTCAGAGTTGAAAACTACTATTGATGCTGCAAATATAAGTTTAAAATCAACAATAAATAATTTAAAGGTTACGTTATAAATTTATACACTAAGTTTGGTAGGGTAAAAAATATATTCTTTGAAAATTGAGCTATGATAATTATGATGCCAATTTTGGCAAAGCCCATCTCTCTATAGCTTTTTGAGGCTGTTTGCAAAGCTAATCTCCATAACAATTCAGGTAAAAGCTATTCAACGTTTTATTCTTTATAAACTTATCCATGAGTCCGGGTTTGGCTTTTTTGACAACACATTAAGACTGCTGAAGTATTTATAATGTAAACTTCTAAAGCTTTCATAATGTCTAATTTATATTTTCTACGAGCGCTTTCTGCTTGGGATAAATAGGGACTTCCTGTTAAGCAAAGTCAACCCAACGAAATGCATCAATTGTCGGTTATTTAATGATGTGTTTAAAGACCTTCGTTTCCTAGTTACAGGCTGTGTAGGCCTGCATTTAGTCTGGCATTCGCTTAGTCCTTCACCTGAATTCAGGAAACAAACCTCAATTCTACATCGTACGTACGAGCCAGATTTTCTTGATCTTTTAAATCGGATTCCTGGAATTTGAAGAATAATCGTCGTGTTCGAAACAGATTTGATTGCCACATTTGCTTCAGTTGGGCATCTAGAAAAAAAGCAAAATGCTAAACATCGATAAGAGGAACATTCTGTTTTGATGAAATTGCACTTAGACAGGGCTGATTCAAGGCTCGTGACTAAAATTTACATGATGTCGGAGGTTCTTAAGCCTAATTTCAATACGGGGACAGATTTAAAGTACACACTCACCCTTTATCTATAATAACAAATCTTGTAAGTCGCAAACTGCGTTGAATCGAAGTTGCATAACAATGTGTCGGTATCAATTTCACGTTCAATCCACGGTATTTAACAGTTCTCAGCATAACCGTGTAGTTTTTTGTTGTGTCCACTTCCACAAAAATTCCGCCTCCTAAACTCTTTGTATATTTCCTGGGTTCGACCGAAATATCAATAGGAGGCCGCACCTGTGTAAACCTCACTCGATTTTGGGTCCTTTCTCTCAAGGAATATTCGCAATGAAAAGGAATTTTAACTTTCTTCCCTCTGCTTATAAGAGAATTCCTTGGCGGTAAGGTTCGTAATGTGTTTGAATATATTACAGATGATGTTGTATACTTCGCTTTGGTTCCGCAACTATTTAGAAATGTTGATACAGTAACATGCGTCCTATTAACGACCGCTTTGCATGATGGATCATTAAGTACAAGCCTGCTTGGCCTTCGCCTCCCAAAAATTTTGCGAACTACTTCCAACTTCATTTCCAGTGGCTGGCAAAAGATTTGAGCTATTTTAGATCCTAAAAAGACAAAAAGATAGGATGGAACAACTGGTTTTGAAAAGTTATGGTTCTCTACAAAATGACTTCACTGATTTCGTATATCCTTCAATCTACGTTTGCAGCTAAACTGTATAAACTGTGCTGCCTCGCATCATAATTGCTGGGTGGCTAACAGACCAAGATTGGCTGAGGGGTAACGGTGTGGCAGAAAAATTGATTGACCACATCTCTGATAAAAATCAACAATCTCTTGCAATAGTATATATAACAACCGTTGGAAATATTTTTCATAAATGCATGCCTGTATAGCTTAAGAAACTCCCAACTGAAATCAATAGGGCCACATTACAAAATATATAGATTTAATACCGTGTCATATAGATGAAGCCAAATCCCCAACCGTGAAACTCGATCCCCAACCAATCAAAATACCCCCCATTATTTACAAATATCCATGAAGAAAATTTTGAAATTTTAACGTTCAGTTGTACTTTATCGTTTGTGCAATGCTAATTCAAATTAGTTGGTTTTAATTAGCTTTAAATATTGAACCAACATTAAGTAAAGAAGTAATAACACACAAAAAATATCGTTATTTTAATGCCAAAAATACCAAAGAGCGGCGAAATATCGTTATTGTAAAATAGAAGCAACGCATTTTGAGAAATATTGAATGTATTTAGATTTAGTGACGCAAATCACTTTTAATCGCAGACACCTAAGGTGGATTTATTGATGGCTGATCCATTATTTATAATGTTTTATTATACTGAAAGCACATGGAAAGCACGTATGAATTAATAAGTTCAGGTACATATGATAAAAGCTGAAGAGCGATCAACTAAAACCGGCCCTTGTCTTGCAAATTCACCTAACAAGTACGTTTAGATACAAAGCAGGGGTAAGACAGGGATGTATGTTAAGCCCGTGAATATTTACGTTATCTAATAAACTGGATAAACTGCTTCCAAGGGTTAGAAAACTTGGACAGTATCTGAATGATAGCTATGAAGGTAATGTCTTTTTGCGCAGGGCAGGTGATATAGCAGTGTTTGCTGCAGAGGAAAATTTAAGTGCTTGAAGCATTCTGAAGTAAATAGGAAAAGATGTTAGGTTCAGACAATACCAAGGTTTAGAAAACAAGAGTAAAAAGCCAACAAGGTGAAAACGAACACCTTCTGTGCACAATTTGTTCAGGTTTATGTAAAAAGATTCAAAAACTGCTAGATGGAACGACGATCGGGCTCTACCAATAATCCGAAACATGTCGCCATCAATTTTTTGGCACAATCTGGGTTTTCCAGTAAATGCTGTTCGATAGCAGAATCGCATGGTTTAGTTGCCATCTTTGATTTGCAAAACTGAGGACTATCTTTGGGTTGTGCGCCCTACGTACCAGGTGATTTTGGCTACGTAGGACGCCTGAACCAAAGATTAGGGGATAGAAAAAACAGGATGTTCCTGGCCACACTAGAATCATATTTATAAAATTGGATTTTGATGAAATTAGATATTATTTATGTTTTGTTATACTCGGTGCTTTAAAACTAATCTTAAACCTAGCAATTCTCGCAATTTGATAGGAGATCTATCATTTCGAGCATTCTTAACCTCGTACAAATTGAAAATTTTCATGAAATTTTGAAATAGCGGATTTCAACAGTATTTTAATTACTGATATGGCATTTCCAAATGTTTGTGCAAGCGATTGTCTTTCTTTCTTTTCTTAAAGCAAAGGACCCAGGTTGCAATCGCAACTTTTCCAATAGGTCCAGACTGTGCCGAAATCACCGCTTTGGTATAAATACACGAACTTTGAGCTGGTAGAGGGGGGGGGGGCAGTTGGATCAGACGTGCTATCTTGTAGTAGACCTATTAAGCTTAAGATATCCAAAGTAGCCATAACACAACCTGTATCTCTTCAGTACATATAGGTAATTAGATGAATTAGCTTCGTTAATATAGCAATACAGAATTAGCTCCATTCTTTTTATTTATCCAACGTCATTCCGCGTATAGAAGATAATGTAATAAGGATTTAATGGCAAAAGGAGGATTACCGGGGCACGGTGAAATTGAAACTCCTATTCTCCTTCCAATTCTGCACTCTTCTTTCCTGAGCTCGCATTCGTTCTTATAATATTTGCCATCAGTTTCGCCACAGACAGCCTGCTCAAGCATTCCCATGCAACTGATGTTGCAGTCACAATGAGTGTAGTTGTCTTGGACAAAACAGCGCTGACCAAACGGGCACTTCTCAAACAAACACGAGTCTAAAACATGAATAAAAAGTAAAAAAAAGACATAAAGCAATATCAGCGGTGAAATATTAAAATATCAAAATATTTGTCCTTACACGGAATATGAATATTGGCAATGGCTGTCTGCCGTCTGGAAACAATCTAAGATTGCTTCATAGCATTGTAAGATAGCAGCAAACACCGACTTTGGTCAAATGTGTTTATTCTGCATAGGTTACTTTTGTTAGAGTCATATGCATAGTTCGAAGAAGAATATACACAGTTATAAAAATATGTTCATCTAGTAAGGCAGAGTTGAAAAAGGAACCCATTAAATTGAAAAAACGTCAATGATCTAGAGCTCGAAAAGGGGTCTGGGGCAGGTCTTATGGTACATTGTTCAGAAAGAGATAAAGAGCTTAGATTAAAAGCCTCTATTCTAGATTGAATATCCTGCAACTAAAGGCAGCCAAGAAATGTCTTAGGTCAGTAATGGTAATTTATTTTTGTAGTCACCGGGATACTCTTCAAAGAGTAGCAATGAAAGCAAAACTATACCATGCTGTCAAAAACTATAGTAGCTTTTGGGTCTAGGGCAATATATGACTTTCAAATTTGATCACATGTAAGCAAGATGGATTTGCAAAAGACCTCAAATCGAAAGAAATTAGAGAATGGGAGATCGAATGAAACAGTGTATTAATGACATTTACATGGTTCACAACGTCCTGTGAGGTGGCTGGGCTTCTCTTGAAATCTGTTCAGATATCTTCCGGTATACCTCACAATGCACTCCAAATTCCTTCCACATTCTCCATTCACATAGTTCTTTCCACCACAAATTTGACCTTCATGCTTAGCACAGACGCGGCAACAATAGCAATGATCCCAGACCAGTCCATGGGTGCAATTTGCTGGGACTCTGCATGCTTTTCTGCTACACTTGCAATTCTCGGAAGCTGCAACCAGATTTAGTGGACCAGTTAGCAGGAAGAAGAAAAATAATTTCCGCATACTGCAGCAACTCGCCTACGATTAAAACAAGTGAGTTGATAATTTTGACAAAAATATGTGAAATGAAACGATTAAAACAATATTTTGCATAAAACATTTACACAAACAGTTTAATTTGAAAATATCGACAAGTGGAGTGGTGATCTTGGCTGAAATGCCCATTTTCCTATTTTGAGTTGGAGCGGACAAACAAGTGAAGGGGATGAAAGATAGACGAATTATTAAGGCGCAGTCAAGAGAAAACTTCCCTAACAGAAACCCCCCCCCCCCCATATACATTTGACACGTTGCTCTAGAGGACACCACGTCTCCTTATCTTGAGGGCACCAAGGACTTTTTTAAAAGGCTCACCCAGCCACCCCCCTTCCATCTGTTTTACCTTCGAAAAGGTTATGGAACATACAGAAATCAGAGTTTCCGAATCAACATGGTTAGCAATTAATAACATTAAATACAAAGAGATTTTAACTAAATCAAGGTATCAATAAAAACAAAATATTACTTAGTTGCTTCTTCTTTCAGTCTCAAAGTTACTTATTATGACCAAAGCCACTGTTGCTTAATTTCTTAAAAACTTAAAAACAACTGGAAAAACCCTCGCATCCCGAGTGTCAGTCGTACCTTTCTGGCCTACGTGACTGAAAAAGAAACTTATTGACCGAAACACATGAACCGTCTTAGAACGGCTCAGGGCTTATGGTATTTATCAGCTGAATTTGTTTGCTTCGTTTTCGGTCCATGATTCTGCAATCAATAGGAGCAATCGACCTTTTCATCTCCTTAAACTAGATACAATTATTTTAAGTAATATGATTGATTTAGACTTAAAATGTCAAAGTATCATGAACACATAGGAAATATTACTTGCTTTCATTCTGCCGAAGGCAAAAGGAGGTAGACATATGAATGAAATTCAATTTGTCTTTAAAATTGGGTTATAATGGAGGAGTTCTTTGTTAGGTCAAGAAGTCTATTTTTCTTTACAATGTAAGATGGAACCGCAAACATCAAAGGCAATCTCAACCAGCAGTATCCCAACTTGACCAATCCGTTTTGATGCGGATAAATGAATTTTTATCAGAGTTAATTCCACGAGGGATATTGTAGAATTTGATTTACTAGAGGTTTTACTTTTATCCGAATTGTCTTTTCCCCTTTTGGTGTCATTTATCATGCTTTCATTCTGGTAGTTGGTCCTTATGTGCCCTTTTCGATGCATTTGGGATTTAGGGCAGTAGGAGTTCTGTATTTTGGGTCTCTACATGGAGTTGTTGGTCCCTTGGCTCTGATGAGGGTATTAAGGCGTTTGGGTTGGGCTTATCGTGATTGTTGGTAGACTTTTCAACGCTCTTCTCTTTTCCCGTACCCTCCCTCCCTTTTTGGTATCTAGCAAAGTGTGTTTTCTTTTTTCAAGTCGTTTTTAAAATTTTTTGTTCTCTTAGGAATTGGAGCTTACCTACATCACAGTATTCTTTAAAAGGTCCTGTTGTTTTTTAGTTTAGGATGGGTCCGGCTTTTTATCCTGTCATATTTTGTCTTTCCCTTTCTTACCTTAGGAATCGAAGGTAGGACTGGTGCATCGGCTCTCTGGTGGGGAAAAGTGATATTTTCTTGTCCATCCCCTGCCCAGAACGTAAAACAGCTTGCACTTGAGTTAATCAAGCTATATCTAAGGTTTAGGGTTTTATTTGGGTTAGGTGGAGCAACTTGTGCCGATGCACCAACGGCCCAACGCTGCTCCCTGTGATGAGGGAATGTAGCCTCAATGCCTGATTTCACGAGGGATGTGTCAATGTTTTTTCTGAGGAAGCTATTTTTATTAAAGTGAATACAATCCTCTGTTGATGTTATTCTCCCGAGTAGAAAATTAACCGTTCTTTAGTACTTCGTATCGTACAATCAAAGTTTGTTTTCATGCTCCCATTGCCAAAGTCAACCAAAAATATCATCACGCAAACCAACCATTTAAAGCACAAAGAAAATAAATCCAGCTTAATGATGACAACGATAAAACGCTAAAAAAATTACAATGCTCCGGTGATCGACTGTTTAGGATTGAAAATCGGCTTGGTCTGTGACGCAAGCAACTGCTTAGTGAACTGTAAAGGCTGATTCAAAATCAATGTTTACTACAACGGAGCCATAACCAAGTTCAAATTTCATCAACGAATCTTTTAAAATGAGTAAATATTTCCTTGGAGGGCATTGTGCCCTGAACGTTAACAACCTCTTTTTATCAAATGTACCCAGAGAGGCTGCTTTTACATTTAAACAAATCTAATTAAGTTTACGTCACATTAAAATTCTGAACTTTATCGGTTTTTCACTTCCAGAAAGACAAAAATGGGCAAAAGCTCTTTACAAAACCAACCTTTGAAGTTATCTGTATGTACTGCCTCGCTATACATTTAATAAGATAAATTCTTATACAAGGTAAATTTTTTCAGGTATTATTATAAATAAGGGCTCGGTTAAAAATGAAATAAAAATAATGTAATGTTAAAAGCTCAAAATGTTATATCATATTTCAATATTTAAAGCTAAAAATCCGGCAGCTAAATATATAGGTATAATTCTTCAGATGACAGATTTTTTCGCACGGATTTGAGGATCCAATAAATCTTGCGAGTGTCGGATTTGGATGATTATGTGGAGGGGATTTTGGATATTCAGCGGAAAAATAAAGGACTGTTTGCATGAAATTTCTACAAAAATTTTCAATAAGAGAAAAATCTGTCGAGATCTTGACAAAAAAACGAAAAGCGGTAAGGGCACTTCCTGATAATAACACTGGTAATAACAGTTTGATTAACAGAATTAAAAATATCGATTTTTAGTACTGCGCTATACACTCTTTTTTTATAAGAACAATTTTATAAAAACACGAGCCTCAAAACTGGTCAAAAGTTAAGAACAAATTAAGAACAAGCTGAGGCTGAGCTTCTGCCAAATACAATTTTGAACAACGTTTTTTCTCAAAATCGAGGATTTTTAGCGATGTGTGGGTGCTTTTTCGGCGAATATTCAAATTTGTCAGCAAATTAAGGCTGTCTCACTCACTTTGTTGGCAAATGAGGCTTGAACACCTCCTAAGAGCGAAAAAGCTTGCAATAGCATTGCTTACACCCTCTTAATTTAAGAACAAATTAAGAACAATCCAGCCTCAGATTTTCGAAAAAATTAAGAACGGTCAGCCTGAACTTAAATTTACTGGTTCTTATAAAAAAAGAGTGTATATATTCCACGTTTTTACCAAGATAATATTGAAATTCGTTTAGGTTGCCAGTTGAAAATCAGCAATTCAGACACCAAATGTAGCATAAACATTCGAGAACAAATGTGCTTTACTCTGGTGAAGTTCATCGTTAATCCTACTATGATCAACCCTTAGCAGGCTGACGCCTATCTGCCCAGAAGCTGATAAACAAGAAATCGTACTACGCAACTCACCCGGATAGAAAGATGGCCCATAAAACTGCTGCAGCCTTTCCAAGTGTTGGAAGCAAAAAAATGTACGTTGCGAGTGAATTCTTCAGCTCTTTAACCAATTACAAAAGCCACGAGTATTAACCTACAGGAAAGTCATAACTTTCTATAAAACGTTGAACAAATGCTTCCTTTACCCAGAACACAACATACACCGCAACAAAGCATAGTGTTTGGTGTTTTCAAACACTCACCAATAACATGCACAAACGGAGAGCTACACTAACAAAGGCCTATACGTTTTATTTTCCAGTTGGCACACGAAAACAAACTTGACATAGAAAGTTTTTGACAGCACTGCTGGACTTTCTCACATTTGTAACGCACGAAATCCTCAAATTGACGCCGTTCATTTCCTATCACGTTCATGTTTCACAGAAGTTATGTGTCAATTATTAACTAATTGCAATATTTACATTTTTCGTATGCATAGCCAGGGGGGATCTGGGGCCACGCCCTTTTTGCAAAATTTTCCCAACATTTCTCTCATGTTAGCTACGGTAAATAGCAAAATACTTTACAATTGTTATTGACACAAGCATACAGTATACTACTCCCCCCCCCATGAGTTTTACATCGTTTTTGGACAAATATCAAGGACCATATTTTAGAAAAATGTCCCCCCCTGTTCCCCCCTTGGGTACGCCACTGTGCATGGCACTACAAAAGAATTGGCCAAACGCAGAAGAAAAACTCCATTCATTAAGATTTCGCCGCTTTTTGCAAGCAAGCAAATGTACTCGAGGCTAGCCAAGTTTGTCATCTGTGAGGACATAAGGCTAACTGAAGACGTATTTCCGTGAAAAAGGTTATCTTTTCTAGCAGAATGTATTAACAAAAGCTGTTTGCTACTGTACAATTAAGGGTATGCACGGCCACATCGTTCGGTATGGTATTTCTTTCCCTCCCCGAAACGAGGTTTTTCTTGCTTTGAAAAACAAATTTTCTGTGAAAAACTAAATTTTTTCACGACCTTCAGCCTATCCTGATGTAGCTTGCCTGCAGACTCTTAGATTCAAGAGTCTGCAGACAGGCTAGTTCTGATGACCAACATTAAAATTTATCTCTTTTCGGAATGTGATTGTCGTTGGATACGTGCTGAAAGAGTCCTTGGGTAGTTTCACTCTCTGCAACTTGCGGTAACAGTATCCCAAAGATTTAAGGAAATAAATGTTCTGTCTCCAGTGGCGGCGCCAGCTACTGCAGAGTGGGAGGGTAATGGGCGTTACCAATGAGACCACGCCCCTTTCACCTCGTTTCAGTACTTTGTAGCAGGTTAATTTTCATATGGACCTAAGACCCACCCTTACCTAGCGCTTTTTAGTCCGTTTTTAGAAGAAAAATTTTGCACACGCATACTGTGAAAAGATGTAAGAACGCCCAGGCTCGATTTGCCAAAAAAACAATTTAAACGCAAGAACATGCTAAGACTTCGATCAAAAATTGGAAGAAAAAACGATATGTTTTTGAAAATTTCCCCCCGTGTTAACAAAACAGAGCAGATTTTAGCTGCAAATCAACTGTGCTTGTAAAAATGTCATTCAAATATGTTATTTAGTGGTATTAGAGGCAATTGATTGTATCAAGATAAAATTATAGTAGGTAGTTGTAGAAAAATCAATGTTGGAATAAGAGCCACAAAGTATCCAAAAAATAAGAACTTCGAGCCTCGGCAAAAATTACCAAACCATGACCATGTGTATTTTCAAACCATTATGCAGAGGGGTCGAAACAACGTCAGAATATCAACATGCGCTGTTGACATTGCCTTCTCTAATTGTAAAAGAAATACATATATATTTCTGATTGCGTTGCCTTTCAGTATACTTTCGTTTTGATTTGATAACGACGGTTCTCAAAACGCGGAGAAATTTCCATGTACAAGTCAATTTTGAATTTGCCAACGTTAGATCGAAATAGAAATAACAGTTAGGAAATGTTTAGGATGGAAGCTGTGAATCGTTATTAAACGCCCTCGTCTTAAAATCTGCCCCCCTTCCCTATTGCCTCTGGGTCGTTTCAGCATCCCTGCGAGAATACAACGTTATTGCAACGTTAGATGGTAATATAGACGATAGTGGATGTAGAGCCTCATTCAAAACAAATCATCGACGAGTGCGACCAGCCTAATGCTAATCGAATCCTGGCAAATACGAGAGCTGAAACTTTCCTGAATTACAACATTACAACGGTTAAAGATTGAAAGCAACATACCTTGCTAAACTTCTTGTTTCTTTTCACTTGAGCTTTCTCAGACCATTTCTTTCCCTTCACTTCAGCTCAGGCGAACAGCAAGACTGCCTGTGGTTAATTGAAAGAAAGTGTGTTCATTAAATTTAGGGTGAATGAAGATAGATAGTGATCTACTTGAATGAAACCACGCTAAACACACAGTAATGATAATAGTGATGACCATCAATAGAAATTAGTATCGAGCATCAAGTGATTGCACCACTCGATTCGATTGTAAAATGCAAGAAATCGACGAACCAGCGATAGGGAAAACTAGTGAACAAGGGTGCATTGAAAGTGGATTTTCGCATCTCCTGTAAGCCGACAATTCAAAACTGCATTAACGGTTTGGTTTCAGGACAACTGGGGCTCGGTAAAACCTTTTTAAAGAATGATAATCCCTGCTTTGAATCGGTGAGTATTTTACCTTTAAATTACCATCAAACAAATCATGATTAGTACAGGAAGCATTCTTAAATCTTAAGTCGATGCAATTACATGCAAATAGCAGAGGCCGCACCAATGTGAATAAAACAAAAAACTAAGCCGCAATGTCTATTTACAGAGCAACGCAAACAGCCCTCGACCCGATTTCACATTCTTATGATTACAAATCAAAGGTAATAGAGAATACTGTCAGTAAGTACCCTGGGTACTAGTGCCTCAGAGTCAGTGCCGTCGGTAAGAAATCCATATTTGGAGGGGGGGGGCTGCCAATTGTTTAACTCCCATTCAGCCGCCGACGGCACTGCAAGCTTTCTATGTCACGGTTTTTTATACAATTTCAACTGGTCGAACTGCTTTCGCTAAAAAAACATAACATCACCTAGCTCTTAGGGCCATTGCCCCCTGCTTGAATTCGATAAAAGATTCATATTTTTAGGGGACAATGAATGTTACCGAAAATCTACACTATAAATAATGAAGAGTCCTTAACTGCGCTCACTAACTCGCAACCATAGCTGTGACATCATGCGTTACGGTATCGTAGCGCACGCTTGCTCCTACGTTGCGCGCAATGGTGTGGAAGGTGACAGTAATATGAGCATTGTTTGTGATTCAGCATCGAATCATGTTTGTTGCAACACTGCAAAAGAGTCTTTATATTTCATGTTCAAGGGAAGTGCATACATCATTTTCCGTATCTGTAAGTACTGGAAGTTTCATAGCTGCCCAGTGCTAGTCCTAGTTTTCTTATGTAAAAATAATTGGTTTTCTAACACTGCATTAGGCACAATGCTTTTAATTTGCAGGAATGAACAGGACCGCCGAGAACCGCGCCAGGTCAAAAGGCAGGCCTAGCACTTAGGCTCTACTCAAAGCAAAAAGCCTAAAATGCGTTAACTATGGTTTCAAAATACTAAATGTTTTCTCTTTACCCTTACAATCATATAATCGTAAAGCATTTTTCAACTTTCCCAGTACAGAAATGACTTGTAATTGCTATGTTATTAGAGTCGTATTTTGAAAGTAAATGTTTGCTTACGGGCCCGGGGGAAATTCCAGAGCTGGAAAATGTCCGGCGCTCCGACTATTGGCACAAATTCATTGTAGGATATTGTTCCTGTTTGCCTGGAAATTTTTAGCGTGAAATGCCCATTGCTTGATTTTCATATGAACCTTAAATTTATGCTACTCTCTTTCTACGGAACGCTGTTTTCTTGTGATATACATACATACTGTATAATTATTTTCTGCACTGCTAACAAAAAACCAAGTTTAGCTTTCAAAATGCAATCATCTTGCATTATCAGCGTCTATTATACCAAGTTTTTCCGGCAATTCGGGCATGATTTTCAGCTGCTAATTTATTTCAAGCAAGCTAAAACAAAGTTCATTTCTCTTTTAACATTAGCCATTCTAGACAATAAAAACATTTAAGGACAGCAAATCATGTTACGTCAATTGTGCCCAATGTGAACATGTGAACACACTTGAAGGTGAACATGCCCCAAAAACTGCGTGGATGTGTTCATTATTATTATTACTTTCTACCGGCATTCACATAAACTTTTCATCGCTAGCTTAATAGAATGTAAGCGTTTTTGGCTTACATCTTTGCCTCTAGCACCAAACCTGATTTAAAACATCAATTTTAACCATTGAGAAATAAAAAAGTATTCTTGTATGTTGTATGAACTGCTAGCTTTGATGATAAAATTGAGCAACAAACATGAAACCCTGAGCAAGATGTGGGATACATCAATACTTCAATAGTATCTAGTTTGCTAGTACTGATATGAAATTAAATCAAATTTATTATAGGTTTTTTAGATCTATTAACCTTGACCTTGAGAACAAACTATGAGCATTGTGCTTTATTCACGTTCACATTGATCATCTAATACAGTATAAACAAAATGATTCCTGTTCGAATTGCTATGATAAAAAATTCAGGACCAACAATCAGTTCTTTTCAAGTATAACAGTTTATTTTTAGGACAAATGTTTAAACAAATCAAGCAACTTAAATATCACTTTCAGTGGCTGGAAACTTTGTCGAAGCTTCGCAGGAAATCTTGGATCCTTTGTTTTGCTGCCAGGAAGAAAAATCCTTTTTCAAACCTTGGGCAATTCCCCCTTCTCAGTGGGCCTAGAATTGAATATAACAGACACACCCTTAAACATGTAGAGTTAAAATGAAATGAGAAGTAGAACGAGTTCTGTTGGGATTTTGCCACAAAGACAGCCTTTGTCTTAAGGTTGGCCAATTTATCAAGAC